TCTCTCTCTCTCTCTCTATATATATATATATATATATATATATATATATATATATATATATATATATATATATATATATATCTGATGATGCACAAATTGAGTTTATACACCACCTATCATATGAGCAGTAATAAATGCAGTAATTAATAAGTGAGAGATGGAGAAGACAAGATTTATAGTGGTTCGGTCAACGTGACCTACGTCCACTTTAAATGACTACGGTCGTTAAATATTTTGTTATTTCAAGTGTGTAGAGAGAGCAGAGAATTACAAGCTTTGAGAGGGAGAAGAGAGTTGTGCTCAACAGAGTGTGATGTCCCCAAGTGTTGACAGAGGTTACAATTTATAGTTGCCTCCTAATAGATTGAGGCGATTTAATAGTACCTAAATAGTTAATCTGGTGAAGCTGACGACTTCTTCTCAACATGCAAGATAGTTATAGTGCTCTACATGAGATTTAGTCAAAGGATGAGGCGAGGATTGACTCTTTCCAAGGTAGCGAGGATAAGACTCTTGGAAGACCCTAAATGCTCTTGCTGATGTAGCTCCTCGAATATGATGAGTTTGACCGAACGTGGACCACTTTGGGTTAAATTTGCTAGATTTCTTGGAATTGGACAGTTAATTCAGACTGGACTTATAATATGAGTTGAGACCTTAGGCTTGAACCATCAATATCTATGTATATATGGTATAAAATTAAGAAAAAATGGGAAAACGAGCGAGAGAGATGATGTAGATTTCGTCTTTGACCTCGATTTCAAAAGAGAGAAACTAGAGAGAGAGAGAGGAACAAGAGAGAGGCCCAAAAAAAAAACGAAAATACCTTTTTGTAATTGGCAAAAAAAATAAAAGCGTCATTTTGCTGCTAATGAGATTTGAAAGTTGAATCTCATTAATTGTTATTAGGATACTGGCGTGTTTTTAGTTTTGGATATTTTCAAAAACATCATTTTTGGTATTTGTAGATTTGGACCTTGTTTTCAAAACAATGTAGGTTAAAAAAAACAAAAACACTTAACAAACACATTTTTATTTTCAGCAAAAAATGAAAATAAAAACGAAAAGAAACATAAACACACATTACCAAACGGCACCTACATCCACACCTTCCAGAATAAACAAGAATTCATTATTTTTGCCATGGAATTCGTGGCTTTCTGAACATACTTTCCACCAGCAGATTTTTGAGAAGCCTCCCCATGTCCTTTAACGGAGTCCTGCAACGTTGCACTGTTTTTACAGTATAAGACAAATGATGACATATGCACACGATACCAACATCTCCCGTGTCACTGCTAGGTGCCCACAATTTGTTGGGTCTGTTTCCTTTTACGGGTCAGCAGACTCGGCACATAAGAAAATTCCAAGGGAAGTCTTTGATGACAACTTTGTCGCGAAATTGCATGTTAACACTTGGCTTATTGATTGTGGCGTCCTGTAAACTGCAAAGAATATATTCATAGTTGCCACTCCAATTAAATCTGGAGGGACAAGAAATAGATTATCTCAATTAGAGTTTAGACAACAGAGATTACAGAGAACTGTAAGTGGGCTTTCAGTCTCCCATCTTTTGCAGCAGTAGTGTGTTTTGGGGTTAGGGGGCAGCAGTTTGCAAAATCTTTTTGTACATCTTCATTTACTATCGAAAGTGGCACAAGAAGCATATATAAGATGATTGCACAGAAATACAATGCCGCCATCTTACATCTTTCTTCAACACATTGTAGTTACACTATCATGTCATTGTTAATCAGAACAATATTGTTGCAGAAAATGAAAAAGTACCCTTCAATGAATACATCATGCCATGGGTCACATTTAATCAAGCAAAAGTGCTTATAAAATACTTAAAAAGTATTAAAATCTGACTAGGAAAGTCATTTGGTACAATGCCCCCACCCCAATCACAATGTAAAAGGCCGGCCTCTTCTTGATATGCATCAACAAATCTCAACCACAAATACTTGGTAAATTGCCAATGCTGAAGTCTTCAAGAAGATGGAAGGAATCTAAAAAAGTGATGCTAGAGATAGTGTACCTTATAATATGAGTTCTCAAGCAGACCATTTGATGGCGAAGCAGTCTGGATTCTCAACTGGAAATTACCTCAAGAACCACCTTCAAGTTTCAAAGAAATTTCCACAATCTAGATATTTGCGAAATTAACGGGAAGTTTCATAAACATTAGAACAAATTTGATTTATGCTCTCTTACCAGATGAATAGTAGGAAAAGAGAATCGATTCCTAAGGAACCTGAATCTTTATCCATTTCATATGGCATGCTGGCCTTCTAATACGATCCTACCAGTTCATAGGGTGCTATTTGAAATTCTTTCCATAGATTTTGGGTTTTAGGTTAGATTCGTTTTTCAGACTAGATTTAGCATGGAATCAACTCTGAACTTGACATTGCCATAGTCTCTTCATTTTTAGGAGTTAGGATTGATGAACCGAAATGATCCGTCTTCTCTGACAAATTCTGAAGTGCATCGTGCTTATTAGCCAATTCCATGAGCACCTTGATTCTTCTAAATGATACATTGCTTGGCCTATGCCCCTTCTCTATCATCTGCAGGAAACACCTCTCTGCTTCGGCCAACTTTCCCATATCACAAAGCAAACCAAACAACACATCAGACACCAAAATATATGATCCAAACCCCTTCTCCACCATATCATTCCAAATCTCAAGCGCCAACTCCACTTTTTCCTGCCTCCTAATCAACCTTATCAGAAACATACAAGACTGTGTGTTTGGCAAACACCCAGTTTCCCTCATCCTCTGATACAAACTCCACGAGCTTCTCAAATCATTGCACCAATAAAATGACCTAAAGAACACATTATAAGTAGTTGCATTTGGGCTCAAAACCATGCCTACCATTTCATCCATCAGCTTGTAAGCGTCACCAAGCCTCTTTGCAATGCAAAAATTCCTAATAGCAGCATTATATGCTGCAACATCTGGATAACACCCATATTCCTTCATCTCCTTTAAAACCTCTCTAGCTTTATCTGGCTGCCCGACCAACCCCAATCCCCCAATGATACTCGTATATGAAATCACATCCGGCGATATATCCTCCTCCTTCATTTTCTCAACTACTTTATAGGCCTTATCAACCTCTCTACCCTTACAGTACACATCAATCAAACAATTGTACGAGACAATATCTGGTTTGATACCCATTTGCCTCATCTCCTCAAAAAACCCATCAGCTTCCTCACTTGACTTCCACCCAGATAACAGTATGTTAAAAGTTTGCAAATCAGGCCTAAACTCAGGCTTCAGACTATGATAAACATTCCTGGCATCTCTCATACTCTTTTCTTGACACAATGTCCTCAACAATGCATTATAACAAGTAGTATCAAACTCCAGAACAAGCCTTTTAAAGCGTCTAAACGATTCCACAGTCTGTCTCACCGAACAAACCTTAGCAATTCTACCTAGAACTACCATAACCGTTCTGGTTGATATCAAAGACCGATCTTTTCTTTTCGTTTCCAATAAAACCTCCCATATGAGATCAAATTTACGATTTCTACCCAAAATATACAGCATTGTGTCCAAAGAAAACGGAGTGTGGTAAAACCCTCTTCGTTTCGATGTTAGATTGAAGAATTCCAGTGCTCGTAATGGGTTTGAGTGACTAAATCTTACCCTTTTCAAGACTTTGTCTATCAAGTCATTTGAAAGAAAGACTCCACTTGATTTTAGTGATTGCGTCAAGTCTTTTGAGGTTGAACTGGTGCTTACAATGCGAAACACAGTTTCAACGTCTTGGTCTTGGGGTGAGGATTGGGAAGTGAATGGTCGAGAGTGAAGTGGAGTTGGGTTTGGTAGATTAAAATAGAGAGGGGGTGAAGAAACACACCTTATTGTTGAAGAGTGAAGAGAGAGAAATTTACGAATCAGAGTCACCATTGTTATACTCGAATAGTTGGACTTCCAGATGATTTTCAGAATCAGCGAGAGTGATCTGCAGATCGCCGGAGGAGGTTAGGTTTGGGCGTAATCAGTAGACGACGTCGTTTTCTGCAATTTCAAGTTTTATTTTGAGCCCTAAAAAACGAAAGTATATATATTAATACTACTATAAAATATTAATAAAAATGAAAATTTTTTGATTATCTATAATAACCTTAACTAGTTATTGTATACGTGAACTATTTTGAATTATAATTTTGTTTTCTTATTTTTTATTTTTACAAACAAAGTATTCGTGTTAAACTGGACTGAAAAATGTACCACAACGCCCAACAAAAAGAAATTCAAAATGATGACAAGACAACCAAACTCCATTTACAATTATACTCGGATCAAACTAAAATAAACCCAAACAATGGACAAAAGAATGCTAACTGAATTAGCCCCCCAGAGCAATGCAATAGCTTGCTTTAAGTTAGTTAGGTTAGCTTGATACCCTAAAACTTTCACAATACAATTAAACTTGTTGTGTTAATTTCACATTATTTCCCTATTATGTACCGAATGAAATGTGTTTCGGTTTTTAACGGATTTCTGGTGTGAAAAGTTAGGAGATTGTTAAAAGACTCAAGACTCTACAAACATCCTGGATTTAGCAGAGAACTTTTCTGTGTCTTTGTCATCACCCAGCACAAGTGCATTGTAGAGTTGCCGAAGTTATTTTATCCTCCCAGATGGCCAGTCAGTTGGAGAAATGCCACCTTAACCTCAAAAATCTTTGATTTTGAAAGTCTGTTATAAACATCCAAGCCTGAGACCAATCTAAGAAATCCCCTAAATTTACTTGCGACATCAACAAAAACTAATCACCTCCTACTTTTTTTAAAAGAGACAACTTCAGTGACATATGGAATGAATAGGTGAAGAAGATCGACATAGAGTCCGAAAATTGCAATATAATTTCAACAAACACATGTATATGATGAAACAATTTGCAGGGTATGCTATGAGGAGAAAAGAAATTGCTTCTTCATTCCTCCTTGTCACCGTGCTTGCTATGTTTGTGCCTAGAAGTATACATGTATACACACATGCTCTCACTCCTAATTCATTTTTGATTACATGAATTATGGAAATTAGAAAAAAAAAAATTGTGCTCTTATTTTAACGGGATATGAGAGTTAAGTTGCAAGGGACTTTGCACATAAGTCTTTCATGCAGCATTATGGATGGGATAAATCAAAGGTGGGCCCATTATACTGAAGATTCATTCACAAAGTAAGAAAAATTATTATTGCATAAAATTTTACCTCATAGAATTAGTTTTTTCAATTATATTTGTAGTGTTTTCGCTTCTTGAGATGGAAGAGGATGATGTTGGAATATTTATAGAAATATTCAAAACTCTACAATTCTGGACCAGGTTTTATTGCTTGAACTTTACCTATGGGGCANCAGTAATAAATGCAGTAATTAATAAGTGAGAGATGGAGAAGACAAGATTTATAGTGGTTCGGTCAACGTGACCTACGTCCACTTTAAATGACTACGGTCGTTAAATATTTTGTTATTTCAAGTGTGTAGAGAGAGCAGAGAATTACAAGCTTTGAGAGGGAGAAGAGAGTTGTGCTCAACAGAGTGTGATGTCCCCAAGTGTTGACAGAGGTTACAATTTATAGTTGCCTCCTAATAGATTGAGGCGATTTAATAGTACCTAAATAGTTAATCTGGTGAAGCTGACGACTTCTTCTCAACATGCAAGATAGTTATAGTGCTCTACATGAGATTTAGTCAAAGGATGAGGCGAGGATTGACTCTTTCCAAGGTAGCGAGGATAAGACTCTTGGAAGACCCTAAATGCTCTTGCTGATGTAGCTCCTCGAATATGATGAGTTTGACCGAACGTGGACCACTTTGGGTTAAATTTGCTAGATTTCTTGGAATTGGACAGTTAATTCAGACTGGACTTATAATATGAGTTGAGACCTTAGGCTTGAACCATCAATATCTATGTATATATGGTATAAAATTAAGAAAAAATGGGAAAACGAGCGAGAGAGATGATGTAGATTTCGTCTTTGACCTCGATTTCAAAAGAGAGAAACTAGAGAGAGAGAGAGGAACAAGAGAGAGGCCCAAAAAAAAAACGAAAATACCTTTTTGTAATTGGCAAAAAAAATAAAAGCGTCATTTTGCTGCTAATGAGATTTGAAAGTTGAATCTCATTAATTGTTATTAGGATACTGGCGTGTTTTTAGTTTTGGATATTTTCAAAAACATCATTTTTGGTATTTGTAGATTTGGACCTTGTTTTCAAAACAATGTAGGTTAAAAAAAACAAAAACACTTAACAAACACATTTTTATTTTCAGCAAAAAATGAAAATAAAAACGAAAAGAAACATAAACACACATTACCAAACGGCACCTACATCCACACCTTCCAGAATAAACAAGAATTCATTATTTTTGCCATGGAATTCGTGGCTTTCTGAACATACTTTCCACCAGCAGATTTTTGAGAAGCCTCCCCATGTCCTTTAACGGAGTCCTGCAACGTTGCACTGTTTTTACAGTATAAGACAAATGATGACATATGCACACGATACCAACATCTCCCGTGTCACTGCTAGGTGCCCACAATTTGTTGGGTCTGTTTCCTTTTACGGGTCAGCAGACTCGGCACATAAGAAAATTCCAAGGGAAGTCTTTGATGACAACTTTGTCGCGAAATTGCATGTTAACACTTGGCTTATTGATTGTGGCGTCCTGTAAACTGCAAAGAATATATTCATAGTTGCCACTCCAATTAAATCTGGAGGGACAAGAAATAGATTATCTCAATTAGAGTTTAGACAACAGAGATTACAGAGAACTGTAAGTGGGCTTTCAGTCTCCCATCTTTTGCAGCAGTAGTGTGTTTTGGGGTTAGGGGGCAGCAGTTTGCAAAATCTTTTTGTACATCTTCATTTACTATCGAAAGTGGCACAAGAAGCATATATAAGATGATTGCACAGAAATACAATGCCGCCATCTTACATCTTTCTTCAACACATTGTAGTTACACTATCATGTCATTGTTAATCAGAACAATATTGTTGCAGAAAATGAAAAAGTACCCTTCAATGAATACATCATGCCATGGGTCACATTTAATCAAGCAAAAGTGCTTATAAAATACTTAAAAAGTATTAAAATCTGACTAGGAAAGTCATTTGGTACAATGCCCCCACCCCAATCACAATGTAAAAGGCCGGCCTCTTCTTGATATGCATCAACAAATCTCAACCACAAATACTTGGTAAATTGCCAATGCTGAAGTCTTCAAGAAGATGGAAGGAATCTAAAAAAGTGATGCTAGAGATAGTGTACCTTATAATATGAGTTCTCAAGCAGACCATTTGATGGCGAAGCAGTCTGGATTCTCAACTGGAAATTACCTCAAGAACCACCTTCAAGTTTCAAAGAAATTTCCACAATCTAGATATTTGCGAAATTAACGGGAAGTTTCATAAACATTAGAACAAATTTGATTTATGCTCTCTTACCAGATGAATAGTAGGAAAAGAGAATCGATTCCTAAGGAACCTGAATCTTTATCCATTTCATATGGCATGCTGGCCTTCTAATACGATCCTACCAGTTCATAGGGTGCTATTTGAAATTCTTTCCATAGATTTTGGGTTTTAGGTTAGATTCGTTTTTCAGACTAGATTTAGCATGGAATCAACTCTGAACTTGACATTGCCATAGTCTCTTCATTTTTAGGAGTTAGGATTGATGAACCGAAATGATCCGTCTTCTCTGACAAATTCTGAAGTGCATCGTGCTTATTAGCCAATTCCATGAGCACCTTGATTCTTCTAAATGATACATTGCTTGGCCTATGCCCCTTCTCTATCATCTGCAGGAAACACCTCTCTGCTTCGGCCAACTTTCCCATATCACAAAGCAAACCAAACAACACATCAGACACCAAAATATATGATCCAAACCCCTTCTCCACCATATCATTCCAAATCTCAAGCGCCAACTCCACTTTTTCCTGCCTCCTAATCAACCTTATCAGAAACATACAAGACTGTGTGTTTGGCAAACACCCAGTTTCCCTCATCCTCTGATACAAACTCCACGAGCTTCTCAAATCATTGCACCAATAAAATGACCTAAAGAACACATTATAAGTAGTTGCATTTGGGCTCAAAACCATGCCTACCATTTCATCCATCAGCTTGTAAGCGTCACCAAGCCTCTTTGCAATGCAAAAATTCCTAATAGCAGCATTATATGCTGCAACATCTGGATAACACCCATATTCCTTCATCTCCTTTAAAACCTCTCTAGCTTTATCTGGCTGCCCGACCAACCCCAATCCCACAATGATACTCGTATATGAAATCACATCCGGCGATATTTCCTCCTCCTTCATTTTCTCAACTACTTTATAGGCCTTATCAACCTCTCTACCCTTACAGTACACATCAATCAAACAATTGTACGAGACAATATCTGGTTTGATACCCATTTGCCTCATCTCCTCAAAAAACCCATCAGCTTCCTCACTTGACTTCCACCCAGATAACAGTATGTTAAAAGTTTGCAAATCAGGCCTAAACTCAGGCTTCAGACTATGATAAACATTCCTGGCATCTCTCATACTCTTTTCTTGACACAATGTCCTCAACAATGCATTATAACAAGTAGTATCAAACTCCAGAACAAGCCTTTTAAAGCGTCTAAACGATTCCACAGTCTGTCTCACCGAACAAACCTTAGCAATTCTACCTAGAACTACCATAACCGTTCTGGTTGATATCAAAGACCGATCTTTTCTTTTCGTTTCCAATAAAACCTCCCATATGAGATCAAATTTACGATTTCTACCCAAAATATACAGCATTGTGTCCAAAGAAAACGGAGTGTGGTAAAACCCTCTTCGTTTCGATGTTAGATTGAAGAATTCCAGTGCTCGTAATGGGTTTGAGTGACTAAATCTTACCCTTTTCAAGACTTTGTCTATCAAGTCATTTGAAAGAAAGACTCCACTTGATTTTAGTGATTGCGTCAAGTCTTTTGAGGTTGAACTGGTGCTTACAATGCGAAACACAGTTTCAACGTCTTGGTCTTGGGGTGAGGATTGGGAAGTGAATGGTCGAGAGTGAAGTGGAGTTGGGTTTGGTAGATTAAAATAGAGAGGGGGTGAAGAAACACACCTTATTGTTGAAGAGTGAAGAGAGAGAAATTTACGAATCAGAGTCACCATTGTTATACTCGAATAGTTGGACTTCCAGATGATTTTCAGAATCAGCGAGAGTGATCTGCAGATCGCCGGAGGAGGTTAGGTTTGGGCGTAATCAGTAGACGACGTCGTTTTCTGCAATTTCAAGTTTTATTTTGAGCCCTAAAAAACGAAAGTATATATATTAATACTACTATAAAATATTAATAAAAATGAAAATTTTTTGATTATCTATAATAACCTTAACTAGTTATTGTATACGTGAACTATTTTGAATTATAATTTTGTTTTCTTATTTTTTATTTTTACAAACAAAGTATTCGTGTTAAACTGGACTGAAAAATGTACCACAACGCCCAACAAAAAGAAATTCAAAATGATGACAAGACAACCAAACTCCATTTACAATTATACTCGGATCAAACTAAAATAAACCCAAACAATGGACAAAAGAATGCTAACTGAATTAGCCCCCCAGAGCAATGCAATAGCTTGCTTTAAGTTAGTTAGGTTAGCTTGATACCCTAAAACTTTCACAATACAATTAAACTTGTTGTGTTAATTTCACATTATTTCCCTATTATGTACCGAATGAAATGTGTTTCGGTTTTTAACGGATTTCTGGTGTGAAAAGTTAGGAGATTGTTAAAAGACTCAAGACTCTACAAACATCCTGGATTTAGCAGAGAACTTTTCTGTGTCTTTGTCATCACCCAGCACAAGTGCATTGTAGAGTTGCCGAAGTTATTTTATCCTCCCAGATGGCCAGTCAGTTGGAGAAATGCCACCTTAACCTCAAAAATCTTTGATTTTGAAAGTCTGTTATAAACATCCAAGCCTGAGACCAATTTAAGAAATTCCCTAAATTTACTTGCGACATCAACAAAAACTAATCACCTCCTACTTTTTTTAAAAGAGACAACTTCAGTGACATATGGAATGAATAGGTGAAGAAGATCGACATAGAGTCCGAAAATTGCAATATAATTTCAACAAACACATGTATATGATGAAACAATTTGCAGGGTATGCTATGAGGAGAAAAGAAATTGCTTCTTCATTCCTCCTTGTCACCGTGCTTGCTATGTTTGTGCCTAGAAGTATACATGTATACACACATGCTCTCACTCCTAATTCATTTTTGATTACATGAATTATGGAAATTAGAAAAAAAAAAATTGTGCTCTTATTTTAACGGGATATGAGAGTTAAGTTGCAAGGGACTTTGCACATAAGTCTTTCATGCAGCATTATGGATGGGATAAATCAAAGGTGGGCCCATTATACTGAAGATTCATTCACAAAGTAAGAAAAATTATTATTGCATAAAATTTTACCTCATAGAATTAGTTTTTTCAATTATATTTGTAGTGTTTTCGCTTCTTGAGATGGAAGAGGATGATGTTGGAATATTTATAGAAATATTCAAAACTCTACAATTCTGGACCAGGTTTTATTGCTTGAACTTTACCTATGGGGCATTTGTTTTGAGTATTAGAGTGGTATAAGGAGGTGGTATTAGGAAAATAATACGTGAGACCCATCTTATACGTTGTTTGTTTGACATTTTATAGTCAATACTATTTTTCGGGTCATAATACTAACCCGTTATGAACAGTAGTCATAATGCCTTGTAGAAGGTCTTAATGAATACCACCTAGGGGGTGGTATTATATTCTTGGTATAGGTATTATAAACTAAAAAGACCGAAATGCCCCTCAATACAATTCTCATATAAAAGCCTAGCCACAATTTTTGACTTTTTAAAGGTTAAAATTGTCTTTTACATTAGTTAGTCGCAATTATTGACTTTTTTAAATAGGTNGACTGGACTTATAATATGAGTTGAGACCTTAGGCTTGAACCATCAATATCTATGTATATATGGTATAAAATTAAGAAAAAATGGGAAAACGAGCGAGAGAGATGATGTAGATTTCGTCTTTGACCTCGATTTCAAAAGAGAGAAACTAGAGAGAGAGAGAGGAACAAGAGAGAGGCCCAAAAAAAAAACGAAAATACCTTTTTGTAATTGGCAAAAAAAATAAAAGCGTCATTTTGCTGCTAATGAGATTTGAAAGTTGAATCTCATTAATTGTTATTAGGATACTGGCGTGTTTTTAGTTTTGGATATTTTCAAAAACATCATTTTTGGTATTTGTAGATTTGGACCTTGTTTTCAAAACAATGTAGGTTAAAAAAAACAAAAACACTTAACAAACACATTTTTATTTTCAGCAAAAAATGAAAATAAAAACGAAAAGAAACATAAACACACATTACCAAACGGCACCTACATCCACACCTTCCAGAATAAACAAGAATTCATTATTTTTGCCATGGAATTCGTGGCTTTCTGAACATACTTTCCACCAGCAGATTTTTGAGAAGCCTCCCCATGTCCTTTAACGGAGTCCTGCAACGTTGCACTGTTTTTACAGTATAAGACAAATGATGACATATGCACACGATACCAACATCTCCCGTGTCACTGCTAGGTGCCCACAATTTGTTGGGTCTGTTTCCTTTTACGGGTCAGCAGACTCGGCACATAAGAAAATTCCAAGGGAAGTCTTTGATGACAACTTTGTCGCGAAATTGCATGTTAACACTTGGCTTATTGATTGTGGCGTCCTGTAAACTGCAAAGAATATATTCATAGTTGCCACTCCAATTAAATCTGGAGGGACAAGAAATAGATTATCTCAATTAGAGTTTAGACAACAGAGATTACAGAGAACTGTAAGTGGGCTTTCAGTCTCCCATCTTTTGCAGCAGTAGTGTGTTTTGGGGTTAGGGGGCAGCAGTTTGCAAAATCTTTTTGTACATCTTCATTTACTATCGAAAGTGGCACAAGAAGCATATATAAGATGATTGCACAGAAATACAATGCCGCCATCTTACATCTTTCTTCAACACATTGTAGTTACACTATCATGTCATTGTTAATCAGAACAATATTGTTGCAGAAAATGAAAAAGTACCCTTCAATGAATACATCATGCCANACAAACACATTTTTATTTTCAGCAAAAAATGAAAATAAAAACGAAAAGAAACATAAACACACATTACCAAACGGCACCTACATCCACACCTTCCAGAATAAACAAGAATTCATTATTTTTGCCATGGAATTCGTGGCTTTCTGAACATACTTTCCACCAGCAGATTTTTGAGAAGCCTCCCCATGTCCTTTAACGGAGTCCTGCAACGTTGCACTGTTTTTACAGTATAAGACAAATGATGACATATGCACACGATACCAACATCTCCCGTGTCACTGCTAGGTGCCCACAATTTGTTGGGTCTGTTTCCTTTTACGGGTCAGCAGACTCGGCACATAAGAAAATTCCAAGGGAAGTCTTTGATGACAACTTTGTCGCGAAATTGCATGTTAACACTTGGCTTATTGATTGTGGCGTCCTGTAAACTGCAAAGAATATATTCATAGTTGCCACTCCAATTAAATCTGGAGGGACAAGAAATAGATTATCTCAATTAGAGTTTAGACAACAGAGATTACAGAGAACTGTAAGTGGGCTTTCAGTCTCCCATCTTTTGCAGCAGTAGTGTGTTTTGGGGTTAGGGGGCAGCAGTTTGCAAAATCTTTTTGTACATCTTCATTTACTATCGAAAGTGGCACAAGAAGCATATATAAGATGATTGCACAGAAATACAATGCCGCCATCTTACATCTTTCTTCAACACATTGTAGTTACACTATCATGTCATTGTTAATCAGAACAATATTGTTGCAGAAAATGAAAAAGTACCCTTCAATGAATACATCATGCCATGGGTCACATTTAATCAAGCAAAAGTGCTTATAAAATACTTAAAAAGTATTAAAATCTGACTAGGAAAGTCATTTGGTACAATGCCCCCACCCCAATCACAATGTAAAAGGCCGGCCTCTTCTTGATATGCATCAACAAATCTCAACCACAAATACTTGGTAAATTGCCAATGCTGAAGTCTTCAAGAAGATGGAAGGAATCTAAAAAAGTGATGCTAGAGATAGTGTACCTTATAATATGAGTTCTCAAGCAGACCATTTGATGGCGAAGCAGTCTGGATTCTCAACTGGAAATTACCTCAAGAACCACCTTTAAGTTTCAAAGAAATTTCCACAATCTAGATATTTGCGAAATTAACGGGAAGTTTCATAAACATTAGAACAAATTTGATTTATGCTCTCTTACCAGATGAATAGTAGGAAAAGAGAATCGATTCCTAAGGAACCTGAATCTTTATCCATTTCATATGGCATGCTGGCCTTCTAATACGATCCTACCAGTTCATAGGGTGCTATTTGAAATTCTTTCCATAGATTTTGGGTTTTAGGTTAGATTCGTTTTTCAGACTAGATTTAGCATGGAATCAACTCTGAACTTGACATTGCCATAGTCTCTTCATTTTTAGGAGTTAGGATTGATGAACCGAAATGATCCGTCTTCTCTGACAAATTCTGAAGTGCATCGTGCTTATTAGCCAATTCCATGAGCACCTTGATTCTTCTAAATGATACATTGCTTGGCCTATGCCCCTTCTCTATCATCTGCAGGAAACACCTCTCTGCTTCGGCCAACTTTCCCATATCACAAAGCAAACCAAACAACACATCAGACACCAAAATATATGATCCAAACCCCTTCTCCACCATATCATTCCAAATCTCAAGCGCCAACTCCACTTTTTCCTGCCTCCTAATCAACCTTATCAGAAACATGCAAGACTGTGTGTTTGGCAAACACCCAGTTTCCCTCATCCTCTGATACAAACTCCACGAGCTTCTCAAATCATTGCACCAATAAAATGACCTAAAGAACACATTATAAGTAGTTGCATTTGGGCTCAAAACCATGCCTACCATTTCATCCATCAGCTTGTAAGCGTCACCAAGCCTCTTTGCAATGCAAAAATTCCTAATAGCAGCATTATATGCTGCAACATCTGGATAACACCCATATTCCTTCATCTCCTTTAAAACCTCTCTAGCTTTATCTGGCTGCCCGACCAACCCCAATCCCCCAATGATACTCGTATATGAAATCACATCCGGCGATATATCCTCCTCCTTCATTTTCTCAACTACTTTATAGGCCTTATCAACCTCTCTACCCTTACAGTACACATCAATCAAACAATTGTACGAGACAATATCTGGTTTGATACCCATTTGCCTCATCTCCTCAAAAAACCCATCAGCTTCCTCACTTGACTTCCACCCAGATAACAGTATGTTAAAAGTTTGCAAATCAGGCCTAAACTCAGGCTTCAGACTATGATAAACATTCCTGGCATCTCTCATACTCTTTTCTTGACACAATGTCCTCAACAATGCATTATAACAAGTAGTATCAAACTCCAGAACAAGCCTTTTAAAGCGTCTAAACGATTCCACAGTCTGTCTCACCGAACAAACCTTAGCAATTCTACCTAGAACTACCATAACCGTTCTGGTTGATATCAAAGACCGATCTTTTCTTTTCGTTTCCAATAAAACCTCCCATATGAGATCAAATTTACGATTTCTACCCAAAATATACAGCATTGTGTCCAAAGAAAACGGAGTGTGGTAAAACCCTCTTCGTTTCGATGTTAGATTGAAGAATTCCAGTGCTCGTAATGGGTTTGAGTGACTAAATCTTACCCTTTTCAAGACTTTGTCTATCAAGTCATTTGAAAGAAAGACTCCACTTGATTTTAGTGATTGCGTCAAGTCTTTTGAGGTTGAACTGGTGCTTACAATGCGAAACACAGTTTCAACGTCTTGGTCTTGGGGTGAGGATTGGGAAGTGAATGGTCGAGAGTGAAGTGGAGTTGGGTTTGGTAGATTAAAATAGAGAGGGGGTGAAGAAACACACCTTATTGTTGAAGAGTGAAGAGAGAGAAATTTACGAATCAGAGTCACCATTGTTATACTCGAATAGTTGGACTTCCAGATGATTTTCAGAATCAGCGAGAGTGATCTGCAGATCGCCGGAGGAGGTTAGGTTTGGGCGTAATCAGTAGACGACGTCGTTTTCTGCAATTTCAAGTTTTTTTTTGAGTCCTAAAAAACGAAAATATATATATCTATACTACTATAAAATATTAATAAAAATAAAATTTTTTTGATTATCTATAATAACCTTAACTAGTTAGTGTATACGTGAACTATTTTGAATTATAATTTTGTTTTCTTATTTTTTATTTTTACAACAAGGTATTCGTATTAAATTGGATTGAAAAATGTACCACAACGTCCAACAACAAAAAGAAACCCAAAATGATGACAAGACAACCAAACTCCATTTACAATTATACTCGGGTCAAACTAAAATAAACCCAAACAATGGACAAAAGAATGCTAACTGAATTAGCCCCCAGAACAATGCAATAGCTTGCTTTTAAGTTAGTTAGGTTAGCTTGATACCCTAAAACTTTCACAAAACAATTAAACTTGTTGTGTTAATTTCACATTATTTCCCTATTATTATGTAATGAACGAAATGTGTTTCGGTTTTTAACGGGTTTCTGGTGTGAAAAATTAGGAGATTGTTAAAAGACTCAAGACTCTACAAACATCCTGGATTTAGCAGAGAACTTTTCTGTGTCTTTGTCATCACCCAGCACAAGTGCATTGTAGAGTTGCCGAAGTTATTTTATCCTCCCAGATGGCCAGTCAGTTGGAGAAATGCCACCTTAACCTCAAAAATCTTTGATTTTGAAAGTCTGTTATAAACATCCAAGCCTGAGACCAATCTAAGAAATCCCCTAAATTTACTTGCGACATCAACAAAAACTAATCACCTCCTACTTTTTTTAAAAGAGACAACTTCAGTGACATATGGAATGAATAGGTGAAGAAGATCGACATAGAGTCCGAAAATTGCAATATAATTTCAACAAACACATGTATATGATGAAACAATTTGCAGGGTATGCTATGAGGAGAAAAGAAATTGCTTCTTCATTCCTCCTTGTCACCGTGCTTGCTATGTTTGTGCCTAGAAGTATACATGTATACACACATGCTCTCACTCCTAATTCATTTTTGATTACATGAATTATGGAAATTAGAAAAAAAAAAATTGTGCTCTTATTTTAACGGGATATGAGAGTTAAGTTGCAAGGGACTTTGCACATAAGTCTTTCATGCAGCATTATGGATGGGATAAATCAAAGGTGGGCCCATTATACTGAAGATTCATTCACAAAGTAAGAAAAATTATTATTGCATAAAATTTTACCTCATAGAATTAGTTTTTTCAATTATATTTGTAGTGTTTTCGCTTCTTGAGATGGAAGAGGATGATGTTGGAATATTTATAGAAATATTCAAAACTCTACAATTCTGGACCAGGTTTTATTGCTTGAACTTTACCTATGGGGCATTTGTTTTGAGTATTAGAGTGGTATAAGGAGGTGGTATTAGGAAAATAATACGTGAGACCCATCTTATACGTTGTTTGTTTGACATTTTATAGTCAATACTATTTTTCGGGTCATAATACTAACCCGTTATGAACAGTAGTCATAATGCCTTGTAGAAGGTCTTAATGAATACCACCTAGGGGGTGATATTATATTCTTGGTATAGGTATTATAAACTAAAAAGACCGAAATGCCCCTCAATATAATTCTCATATAAAAGCCTAGCCACAATTTTTGACTTTTTAAAGGTTAAAATTGTCTTTTACATTGGTTAGCCGCAATTATTGATTTTTTTAAATAGATATTACACAGATAATATTTGTGATAAACAAATAAGGAGAAAGATGAAATTATAGTTTAACACCGGATATAATATACTATTAGATTAGAGTGAAATGAATATAAAATCTTATGCCACCTAAATTTTATACTTAAAACAAGCATGCTCATGGTGTATCCATAAGCAGGGTGGAGCCACATGGGGATAAAGACTCGTGAAACTATTTAATATATTATATTTGTTTCCCCTAAATTTTTTAAAAATTTTAATACTAGTTCTAGTTTTTTTTTCTAATAAATTAATGGTCCACTATGCCTCTAAAATAAATATTTTATTTTTGAATTGAGCCAATCAAATATAATTGATGAGCCCAAATCTAACTAAGCCAGACCCAATAAATCTAACAAACTCAAGTCAACTAAAAGGCAGGTCAGCCTAGTTCGCAAATCTGACCTAGTCCAAGATCTAAGGAGTTTATGAAGAAAAGAGCATGTGGGGGAGAGATCATCACTCATTAAGATACACACTCTCGAAGATCAAAAACTACCTTAATTATAATACCTTTTGTAGATATCCTCCCGAGATTCTAGTGCCTTTATTCTCACATCACCGCCTCTTAATACCTATAAATTGTAAGTCTTCTCCACATGAGAGAACACACATTGAGTTTTACCTCTACACATCTCTATACACACACAACTTTTCTCTCTCCTAGCTATTATGCCTCTCCTAGAGCTAACCATTGTTCTCTCTCATTTATCTTATTTCATCAATAAAAACCCCCCGCCACCGTTGCCATTTCTCAGAGTAGAGTAGGTCACCTAAACCGAACCAATATATGTTTGTATGTTGACTCATTATTTACATTACTGTCATTGATTGTTTTGTAAATTGTCAATTAACTACACTTTATCACACATTCGACTGTTCATATTGCACGAGACTATTTTGTGCATCATCAATGACTATCCTAATCTATTTTTATATTAACCAAAAGACAATATTTCTCTTTATCTAACACAATGTTCATTATTTTTATAAAATAATATTTAGTTTTTATTTACTATTTTTTTAGTAATAGAAGTCTATAACCTAATAAAATACGATTGTATACAAAGGATAAAAAGTTTTAACCTAAAAATATTTCTAGTTATTTTAAATTGGGAATTTCTCTATAAGATTGATAATGATCTCAACTAAGTTTTGCAGATAAATAAATAATGATTTTACTACGGACATGTGATTGTGTGCATTGATAAAAAATTAATTTACATTTAATTCATATACAAAATTTTAGAGATTTTAAAAAAAGTTATTTTTATTAAAATATATAATTATGTTTAAATTTACTAAAAAAATTATTTTGTGACTTTTTTTTCGAATTTTGTTTCGGCTAAATAAAAATTAAATTTATTATTTTATAATAATTTTATCTTGATTCTTACTTTTTTGTTATTCTTGAACTAATTTTTTTTTTTATTAATTTTGGCTAAATATTTTTTTATATTAGTTATATTTTGCCCCTCATAGATATTCCTAGCTCCATCCCGTCCATATGTTGCCTTAATGGTTGATGCTAACATCAAGTAGAGCTGCTCAGAAGAAGTGCTTAGAACACTACTTTCAAATTACTTATGTTCCATAACGAAAACCTACAGACTGTGGCAATGCCCAAGTGCCAGGGTGGCTCGATATGTTTTGAGGTCTAAAGCGATAAATTTAATTGCAACTTTTTAAATTTTTTTTTAATAATAATGTAAATTTTTTAATATTTAATTTTTTTTTCCAGGNTTACTTATGTTCCATAACGAAAACCTACAGACTGTGGCAATGCCCAAGTGCCAGGGTGGCTCGATATGTTTTGAGGCCTAAAGCGATAAATTTAATTGCAACTTTTTTAATTTTTTTTAATAATAATATAAATTTTTTAATATTTAATTTTTTTTTCCAGGATGCATATTAATTGTTTAGTATTCGTATTTAAGTTTTTCTAACATATCTTTTTTTATTGATAGTGTAACTAATTGATTTAATTTTTTAATTAAATAAAAATTTTCAAAACATTCAAATTCAAAGATTGTTTGACAGATTATGTTGTCTCATTATTGACACTCTTATAAAATTATTTTTCTATGAATTAGAGATTTTTCATAGAATATATGTATGATTAGGTTTTTTAAGATTATGATAAAAAAAGATAATATTACATGGACCTTATTTAGTGATTTTATTTGGCNTTCAAAGATTGTTTGACAGATTATGTTGTCTCATTATTGACACTCTTATAAAATTATTTTTCTATTAATTAGGGATTTTTCATAGAATATATGTATGATTAGGTTTTTTAAGATTATGATAAAAAAAGATAATATTACATGGATCTTATTTAGTGACTTTATTTGACAACATTATCATTTTTTGTTATTAGATAGACAGTGGACCCCACTATTAGTTGAGACCTACTATCAATGTCATAGTTATGATTTNTTTATTTGGCAACATTATCATTTTTTGTTATTAGATAGACAGTGGACCCCACTATTAGTTGAGACCTACTATCAATGTCATAGTTATGATTTATCATGTCACTAGATAAGATTACTAAATTCGGTATAAAACATATTTTCTTTTTTTTTTTTCTCACAAAATATTATTGTGTGAGATTAATCGATTAGCNTTATGATTTATCATGTCACTAGATAAGATTACTAAATTCGGTATAAAACATATTTTTTTTTTTTTTTCTCACAAAATATTATTGTGTGAGATTAATAGATTACCTTTTTGGGCCCAAAATTAGTCTAGAGTTTTTTTGTTGGTTTAGGCCTTCATANTTTTTTTTTTTTTTTCTCACAAAATATTATTGTGTGAGATTAATCGATTAGCTTTTTGGGCCCAAAATTAGTCTAGAGTTTTTTTGTTGGTTTAGGCCTTCATATGGGACTTTTTTAATGGGTTAAAATTGACTTTGTTATATTTGTAGACTTTTTAAATTTTGGGGCCTTTATTATTGGTGGGCCTAAAGCCACTGCTTCATTTCCTCCTACATTGGGCCGGCCTTGCCAAGTGCCTGCCAAAACCTACAGGCTGTGGTATTTATACTTTCTTTCAAAGAAAATTGATCCATTGGTCTACAAGGGTGCAAAAGTTCAATATTGAGATATCTTAATAGAGAAATCATAATTTTTTTTCTCGAGACTGATTTATCCATTTGCTTCTTACTCTTTATATTTTTCATAAAACTCTAATCTTTAAGTTCTCTTTGCATCATCTCTCTATTCCACATGCATCTTGTTTGTTTTTATATTGAATCTGAAGTTACTAATTGGAAAGTCAAGATTTACAGAGTAGTTTTGAATGGGGTGGCATTTCAAATCCATGCTTAAGAGGAACAGGGTTAGGATTGCAGGAACTTTCACCATTACCATCCTCAAAAGACCAAGTTTGACATCTTCGTCCAAACTTAGATCCTTCATTTTCTTCTTTCAGCCACCCTTTGGTTGTAGAACATTGTCCATTATTATAGGGAATCTCTAATGTCCAATTCGACGTTTGCTCCCCTCACTTTCCCCTCTAAAAAGTGAAAGTAATGGTAAATGCCCCAATCAGCCTTAGCCCCTTCTATTCTCTATGTAAGGTTGTGGTACTTCAAATTTTTTTTTGTTATCACGTATATTAGCCTAGATTTTTTGAATCACTTAAAAGGCAAAACAAAGTTCAATAACTATATAGAAGGAAGCTTGTGACTTTCTTTGACTTGAAAGTGTTCACAAAAAAAATGAAAATATAATTTAAGAGTAAATATCGTAATTAATCTTTAAAATTTGTCTTCTGTTTTAAAATGATATTTAAACTTTTAATTATCTTAATTTAATCCTTCAACTATCAATTCCAACAGTTAGAACAAACGTTGACACATGGTATGGGTGACCACATAACAAACACGTCCAAAAATCATGCATTGCTGCAGGGTCTTTTTTTTTTTTTCCTTTTAAACCTATCCTACTTATCAATCTTCCATTCAAACATGTGGCTAAATTGCTAATAGTAGTACAATAGATTCCCCCCTTCATGGTATAATTAGAATATGATAAAGTAGTGGATCAATTATTTTCACCTGTTTGAAATGAATTAGAATAAATTATTCATTTTAATCCTCTTGTAACACCAGCTCTGTATATTTTTTCAACTTATTGATATGACAGTGATATGGTATAATAAAATTATTAAAGTTCTAACTGTCGAACTTTTTTATTGAGACTTTATCACTTAACACATCTTTAATAAGTTAAATTTTTAAGTTGTAATAGCATTACTCTTCCGAGTTTGTTTTTAAGTCCTAATAGCATTACCAGTTTAACGTTAGATGACTCAACTTAACTTGCCCTAAATATTGACCTAATTTGAATGCAAGGTTATCCAAATCCATCCCAACTTGCCCGAAATATTGAAGACGCTAGGAGCCCATGGTTTTGCATCTTTTGATGGCAGACATCCGAATGGCCATACAATACAAACCACTAGCCACTAAGGAAATCTCCAATATTGACCCAAACTTAAACTTAAATAAAAAAATGAGTAATAAACTTAATTTGGTATACAACATTCCAATTGACAAACTCAAATTTAGAGAAAGACAAACTCAAATTTAAAAGAACGCAAAATATGACATATTAAATATTTTAAAAGAATAAAATCTGACCATTAAAGATTTAAGTAAATATTTAAATTTGCATTGATTTGAGTAAAAAATTATATCTCCCTTCATTTGGTATAAATTTGATTTAAAGACTGAAACTTATTTTTAGTCTGATTTTACTCAAATTTAAATTTAAGTAAAGATTTGAGTAAGGAGTAGAGATGACTTAAGACCACTAAAACTGTTCTCATCTTTTTGGCTCCCACCTTTATTCTAAAAAAAATATTTCACTGAATAAAGCTAAACTATATGATCCAAGAGAGAGAAAGCTAACCTATACGATCCAAGAGAGAGAAAATGGACAAAGAAAACCAAAACAATAAAAGAATAAAGCAAACCTCAAAGGGTACTCCACTTCTTCAAAGAAGTTCATTTTCTTTCTTCCTTCCCTTTTTTTTAGTTCAAAGGAAGAGATACATCCAGTTGCAACAACATATAAAGAAGACAATGAATAGAAAGCTTTGGGTGAGGGAACACACACAAAAAAAAAAAGAAAAAAAGAAACTTACAATCCGACGTTTGGGTAAAAAGAACAGGGTGGGGGTGGGGAATCACAAGAGCTTTACAGAACTATACAAAATTCCCTGTGAATTCTGTGGTTTATCACCTCACCTCAAAATAACAGAAACTAAATACCTTCCTGCGGCTTAGGCATAAGCACCCTCTTCTGAGGTATTTGTATTGCTAAATTATTTTTTGGTGTATGTGAGGTATTGGTCTTGCGCAATAGTTAAAACATCTGGCCGGTCTGCCTGATTATATGTCAGACATCGACGAATAAAATCCTGCCATAAATCACGATTCGTGAGGAATTATACTAAAAAAAACAAACTAATTTATCTAGCGCGTGATGATAAATTAAATGGTCAGAAACAGTATGTTACTGNGGTGTATGTGAGGTATTGGTCTTGAGCAATAGTTAAAACATCTGGCCGGTCTGCCTGATTATATGTCAGACATCGACGAATAAAATCCTGCCATAAATCACGATTCGTGAGGAATTATACTAAAAAAAACTAGCAAACTAATTTATCTAGCGCGTGATGATAAATTAAATGGTCAGAAACAGTATGTTACAGATTTAAGAACCAGAATGGTATATAATAACTAATATAACTATGATGCTAACACTTTGTCCCGATTGCCTCATCATGCCCCCTCCTGTATTTAGTATGCAAAACAAAGATATCTGTTGAGTGAGGGTCATTTAATGAATAGTTGATATATGGAATTTGAATTCTAGATATATACAAAGATAAACTCTCACAATATGTTGTCACAACATCCCTTTTCCAATAACAATTGTCCCAGACAAATTCCATTATCTCAACATGCGGTCACATGTTCATACATTTGGAAGTTGGGTGACTGGATCGCCAAGTGAGTAAGTGGTATANATATATACAAAGATAAACTCTCACAATATGTTGTCACAACATCCCTTTTCCAATAAAATCTTTATTCTTTACAATTGTCCCAGACAAATTCCATTATCTCAATATGCTGTCACATGTTCATACATTTGGAAGTTGGGTGACTGGATCGCCAAGTGAGTAAGTGGTAAATTGCAAATGTGTCAACTAAAAAAAAAGGGCAGAAGAAAAAGTAAGAAGGTGGAGGGGTGTTAAGAACAAACTAAAATGTGAAACTTTGTTGTTTTTTTTGAGGATAACCTCACAAAATTTTCCATATTCAAAATTGAATCCATCTGTATTTTTTTCAAAGATTTTAAGCAACTGACTACAGAAACCCAAAACTAGACCCCTTTTTTCCCTGAAACTCCAATTATGCACCCTGGAAGTTTGAAATTGAAGCTATTTGTTGGCAGTTTGACAAAAGATAGATGATTTACTTCAGGTACCAAGAATAAAGAAATGACAATAATTGGGGCAGAGAGCTCGTACTACCCCCTTTTTTTGATCCAGCCTTTTCTTCACTTCAGTAGTGAATCACCTACTAAAAAGGGGCAGGCCTGTCTTATTTTTCCATTTGCTATTTGGAGGAAAGACAAGCCACACATAAAAAAGATGATGTTGAACTGTCACTACATATGACAATACACACAAGCTGCAGAGCGCTTCTAGAAAAAGATACACATGCTGCAGAATGAACATATGGGAAGAATTCATTCACCTTAGCCTCATTTGAGACAGCAGGTCTTGAAGGGAATTCCACCTTGCGGGCTTTGATAATGGTATCTTCTCGTAAAATGCGCTCTTGGGTCTGGTCGTGTCCAAATGGACGTCTACCAAAGAGCATTTGGTAGAATAGAATACCAGCTGACCAAACATCAACCTGTTTCCACCCATGGACAAAGTGTTAGGGAATGCTTATCTAATGGAAAAGTAGCAGTGTAATTGAGTGAGAAATACTGGAATCGGTAAAGCTTTTCTTAGAAGCCAATACACTTCAGAAGTGCCAACAACTTTACAAACTACGCTTTTAGACTAAAGCAGGAGAAATCCACATAGCTGCAAAGGCCACTGCTCCTTGCTAACTCATAAAACATCCTCATAAATGAAAACCCAATTCAGGAGTGCTGACCTTTGATGATATGAGAGGTGTCTTGCTCAGCTCAAAGCATTCTGGAGGCAGATACCTGAAATTATAGGAGAAGCAATGAACAACAGCCTGCCACATGACAAACAGGTAAAAATACATTTACGACAGAAGAAGAGCCACTACAAAGTGCATGTCAAGCTTCATCAAAAGCNAGGCAGATACCTGAAATTATAGGAGAAGCAATGAACAACAGCCTGCCACATGACAACACAGGTAAAAATACATTTACGACAGAAGAAGAGCCACTACAAAGTGCATGTCAAGCTTCATCATAAACCATCTCTAAAACAAGAGGAGCCAACAAGTTTAGGACGGAGTGATAAAACACAAAGTACCTAGCTTGCGACAAATGAGGATTATTCAGTGGAATGAAATTGTGTCACTTAGTAAAAAACCTTATGACGGTCACTTTGAATTAGATTTCAACAACCAATGCCAAAATTATGCCAATAACTAAAGTAAATCTGGGCGATCAGTTCAAATAGAAAAAAAAATCATGCTCTGTAGTGCTTGTACATATAGAACACTTGTATTTGAAATCACAAGGACGCAGGACAATCAATTTCTTTCACATAGCCAGTGAATTAGATCATTTTTTTTGTTATGGAAATTGAAACGAAAATAAATGATAGCAAGACTAGCATCACTAGGAAATTCCAGTAAAACAGTCATTTCTATTTCCCATATAATTCTAGCACTTTACTCCAATCCAGTTTCCTGTGTTTTTATATTGACCATCAGGAATTATATGAAAGTCTCACAAAAGCTATGGGTAAGGGTAACAGAAAAGGAATGATTTTGTTACGTGCCTTCAACTCACCCCCAAGTTATAGAGGCACATAACCAACCTTAATTATACTGCACATATTGTTAAACTTAGCAGATCAACAAAATTTATGAATATATAAAGTGATGGCTGTTGCTGTCCATTGGTTTTACAGAATAGGGTCACCAATTGCAATTGAAAAAGTCATAAACACTGAATTAATGCACCATTTACCAATATGTTCCAGCCCCTTGGGACGTAAGTTCCATGCCCTGGGACCCAACATTATCCTCCACTATCTTGCTAAGGCCAAAATCAGTGACCTTAGCAGCACCGAGCTCATCAAATAGAACATTACCAGGCTTTAAATCATAATGGATGATTTTCTGTGTTCTTTTGTTCAAGTAAACGAGGCCTTGAAATATCTGAACAATAATAATCCTAGCTTCTCTCTCTGGTAATACAGGTGTTGCTTTAAGAACAGCATCAAGATCTTTGCCTGAGAAATGAAGGGAATAAGACCAATGAATGAAAGTCAGAAGTTACTGCATCCTGATTGTTAAAATCAGGGTGACATTAATCATTTCCAACCCACTACAGAACTTTTTCTTCTCAAGAAGAAATGAGATTAAAAAAAAAAACAAGATAAAGTATGCATACCACTACAGTACTCCAAGACAGTGCAGAATGTGTTTTGGTCTATCTCAAAAATGTCCCAAAGCCGTACAATGTGATGATGCACCAATGTCTTGTGTATGTTGTACTCCCGGATTGCATGTCTTATGTAACTTTGCTTTTTATCTTCACTCCACTGAGCATTCAAACCATGAAGCTTACAAGCCACATATCTATGCTCCACCAAGTCAAAAGCCTGCCGTAAATTTCTCACTTCAAATCACTGCAAAAAGGTGCATTTTCACAATTGCCAATATAGGCAAAGGAAATAGACTAGAATATTATTTCGACAAATGGAGCCTTTTTCAGAAGGGGAGCCAAGATTTTGTCCAGTGGGGGAAAGGTGTCTAAATTCCAAATATAGATTACACTGCAATACAACATCATTACGTCGGTATCCTATTAAATATATTATTTTTTAGGTAAACTTCATCCACACTCCTGTAGATTACCTTAACCTAACACCCCTGCATTATTGGAAATTTCACTGCACTACCTTCTAGTTCACCTATCCACTTCACCAACACCCACTACTGTAACTAATTGTTACTGACAATCTAAAAGTGTTGATGTCATGCCAATAACTTTTTAAAATACCAGTCTTACCCTCCTTCCCATGAACCCCTCCCCCTTCCAAGCTCCCCTCCCATCCATCACCCACTTCTTACATACCTGCCATAACCACTCATCCGCACGGAGCGGCCATCACCACCACCTGCCAGTAACCAATATCAAAACTACCAACTGCCACCACTTCTACACAAGCAAACAAAACCCACCCATTTTACCACCAAACACCCACCAAAAGCCAGTCCTAGCCCCTTCCCATATAACCACCATTACCACCTTGTGCGGCTGTGCCACACTAAAATGAGTAACAGAAAAGGAGCAAAAATCCAAATTTCAAACACCTTATCGCACCCAAATCATGGAAATTCAATCCATTTCCCTCCAATTATTTTAATAGCAATTTGAAAAACAAGCCAACCAAACCCATAATTCTCCAATTGATACACAAAGCAATTCAAGAGAGAATATTTCAAGACAGATTATTGTGCAATCAGAGGAACAGAGCATATGAACCACCCCTCCCTCCTATCGCAAATAGTTGCACCACTGCCCATCCACACAAAACCCCCCAACTATACATCCAAAAGCCACCACCACCTGGCAACCCAAAACCCAAAACCGGCCCCAACCAAGCCTCTAATTTATATCAACCAATTCAAACCATCAAAATTCAGCGACTAGATTTGCGAAACAACTCAACCACCACCACCCTTTACCTTCTCTTACAGTTAATTGAACACTGGGTTGCTCAGTCCATCTCATAAGTTTCAATTCAATGTTAATAAATGTCAAGAGAATGATGAATCGAAGAGGAGGGAGACGAGCTGTAAAGAAGGCCACAAACCACTTGACCCAATCTCTCAATGTGTTTCTTCTCTCCCCTTTGACCCTATCTCTCGAGTTGTTTCATCGATTGGACTTCGTCTGGTTTATTGAAACGGCAATGGTGATGGCATGAGGTTGGTTGGCAAATTGGGAGTGTGGAGTGAGGGGTGGGTATCGGTTAGAGGGTAGTCTCTTGGAGGAGAGAGCAAGAGGTGGGTGGGGAATGGTGGTGGATTCATATGTCATCGGTGGTTGAGACATAGGTGTTTCTTTTCTTGTGGAATTATATATATATATATATAATTACAAACACTAAAAATCAGTATTTATGACCAAAAACGTGTACTATATATAGGTAAATATTTAAGATTAGGATAATAAGTAAAAGCACCACTTCTTTTGCTCCCGTCAAGAGACACACTACTGAGTCCGTGAAATTCCAAATAATTGAAGGGGTGCCTTTGACGATTGGGTATTCTACAAGGGGTGTGGATCAAATTTACCCTTTATTTTTTACAAAAGAAAAAATAAATTTTAAACTTGACAAACAATGAAACCACTTACAATTTTGGAACTGGTTTCTTGGCCATTTGCCACAAGAGAATTGGTCAAGTGCGCATATGAAACAACTATACATTTGACTTCATAAAAGTATAGCTTTTCCTCAAATATTAAAGGTTTGAATAAATTGACCATCTTATTGTTTTGAAATCAGAATTGAACCAAATCTGAAAAGTTAAGAATTTGGGATTCCTTTCACTTGTTTTCACATTAGTTGAAGAAAGAAATTCACCAAAAAGACAAAAATCCCAAACATGGACTAATCATTTGCATCCTTTATCTTTTATTCTTTATATGTACACACACACACACACACACACACATTCTTCAATTGAAACGTAAAACATATGAGGTTTGGTGAAATCCGTGTCTTTATATTAATTTTGAAACTTAAAAGTTTGTGAACCTTTACCATCACGTAGTTAGATCTAAGTAAGAATTCTTCAAGGGTTTAAAGACGTCACCTATGCAAAATTCTAAACAATCTAGGAAATTTGAATAGGCCCCACGTTTTTTGAAATCCCAATGGAGCCAATAACGATTAATCCCCTACAGTGCTATATGAGCCCGCCCATGCTATGCTAGAAATGATTAAATTTTCAGAATATAAATTTCAAGTTCTGACCTTATAAACCTCGCTAAATCCTCCTTTCCCAAGAAGATTTAAGAGGGCATATCGGTGGTTCAAAATTTGAAAATTGTTGAAACGGGAACCATCTTCATCTCGTATGCGTTTCATTTCACGTATAAGCCTTCCCTTCTCTAGTTCATAGCGATCTCTCTCACGCATTAAGGTTTCTTCCTCCTACAAAAAAAGCACAAGCCATTGACATCATGCTACAGTAATAATTAGAACAAATTACTATAAGAAACAAACTTACACGCTTGATGCTAGCTAATCGGGATTTATAAATCTCATCCTGAATGACAAAATCTTCTTCTTGAACTCCTGCTTCTATTTCAGTTCCATCTCCCTTATCTTCAATTGATGATCAAAAACATTAGTACTCAGAATTTTGCCAGATCAACAAAAAGGAATTCAAAGATGAATAGAGGATCACTACAACAAGAAATAAAGAAATGATTATTGTTAGAGTTCTTATTTTATATATTAGACATCAGTTAGTATGTGTAGGGTAATATTATAATTACTCTAATATTATATAATTATAAATAAGAAAGAATAAGGCAACCTAAACCTATACAACTGATTATTTCTCTCAATCTCTTTTTCCTCTTTTTCTCTCTCTTCCTCCCTTCTTCTTTCTTTCATAAACTTAATATCAACTTCAACTTTTTCTTGATATTAGAGAAAATTTTTCTATTCTTTTTAGCAAATAATTGCATGAACAACATAGTATAAACGATCAGGAGGATTTATTTGTGCTGACATGATTGTTCGCTAGAAAAATGACATCATCGCCAAAAAAGTGACATCAACAATTTTTTGGCAAATCCAAATGTGGTCCGACTCGAACTTGTGCCCCGGTAATTATAGTGATTTTTTCAAAATTTTTTGAGGTTATCTGAATGATTTTTTGAATTTTTGAATGTTTTTCTTGAATTTTTTGGTGCCGACTACGATCTCTTATGTGGGAGCCTTTAGGATCTTTCCGACGCTTGATTCCATGACAAAGAGGTCTAACTAATACTCTAGGAGTTTATACTGGACTCGTTGAGATTTGGGTCATTTTTTGTGACTGAGCAGTTTCGACACTATACAATGCTGATGTATAGCCAAGGATCAAAATACTGTTTCGAAACATCCGAAACGTTTCCGTTTTCAAGGAGACCGAAACGAAACAATGATAGAATCGAACTTGATATTTCGAGGTATTTCATAATGTTTTTAAATGTATTATAATATTTCAATATATTTACACAATTGTTTTGGAATGTTTCAAGGTATTTCAAGATATTTTGATATATTTTCATCAATGTTTTAGAAAAATATTTCTTAAATCTTTTATTTTTTTCATTATGTTTCTGAAATACGTCGAAACGTTTTCGTTTTCTAGGTAACCGAAACAATACACCAAAACAATATTTTGATCTTTGTGTATAGCACTGTTTTGATGTTTCTGTTTCTTTTTGGACTTTTTCTTCTACGATGTATGGCTAATTTCTGGGAGTGGTTTTCAAGCTTTCAACGGTTGATTGGTGTTGGGGCTATTTGAATCCAAAGGAACAAGTATCAACAATACTATTCTCGACCTGTTTGTGTGTGGGAGAGCAACGCTACAATTTGCAGTGGCTTGGTTCTTCACAGAAGGGTGCGACTAGGACATGAGGATCTTCTGGAGGTGATCCATGACTATCCGTAGTGTGTGGGAGTGTTTTTCTGCTGTGTGTGGGTTGTGTTGGTTTTGGATTCAGGCAGATTTTACTCTTTTGGTTTGTACTATTCGTGTTGAATCGAACTAATTTGCCACGGCAAAGAACAAAGAATATAGGCTGCACGTCAGCTTAAAAAAAAAAGAGATAAAAAGCAGTGTGTTGTTGAGTTTTAAGTGTTGTTTTANATTTGCCACTGCAAAGAACAAAGAATATAGGCTGCACGTCAGCTTAAAGAAAAAAGAGATAAAAAGCAGTGTGTTGTTGTGTTTTAAGTGCTGTTTCACTAAAGATTTTGAAAAGTTACTTCTTTTTGTGTGCTTTCTGATGTACTAAATTTTGAGGAGTTGAACCCAGATTTTTCCAGCTGTTCTGTTGTTCTATTTTCTTGCTACAATTTGTGTTATCCTTGGTGTTTGTTGAGATTTGAGATCATTACTCTTCGTGTTAATATTGGCATGATGAGATCGTTATTCATCAACCAGCTGATTATGGATTTTTTTTTGGTTCGACCCTTATATAATTATTTGTGGGTTCTCTGTGGCAACTTTGTGTGGCAGACGTGGTGCTAGTTTTGGTCGTGGTCATTGTTCTCTGNTTCACTCCACTGAGCATTCAAACCATGAAGCTTACAAGCCACATATCTATGCTCCACCAAGTCAAAAGCCTGCCGTAAATTTCTCACTTCAAATCACTGCAAAAAGGTGCATTTTCACAATTGCCAATATAGGCAAAGGAAATAGACTAGAATATTATTTCGACAAATGGAGCCTTTTTCAGAAGGGGAGCCAAGATTTTGTCCAGTGGGGGAAAGGTGTCTAAATTCCAAATATAGATTACACAGCAATACAACATCATTACGTTGNTATAGGCAAAGGAAATAGACTAGAATATTATTTCGACAAATGGAGCCTTTTTCAGAGGGGGAGCCAAGATTTTGTCCAGTGGGGGAAAGGTGTCTAAATTCCAAATATAGATTACACTGCAATACAACATCATTACGTCGNAGTTTCGTTAACTCATCCAACAATTATCTTCACATTTTCCACATTTATCTATTCCTAGTACCGGTCTTGCTAATGTAGGTAACTCTGCATGTATGGTTGCTCAATCTTCTTTGTTATCTTGGATCATTGATACAAGAGTCAGTGCTCATATGTCTGGTAATTTTTCCTTGTTCTCTAATTTTCATTCATCTAACTCATGTATTGTATTAGCTGATGGNCGGTATCCTATTAAATATATTATTTTTTAGGTAAACTTCATCCACACTCCTGTAGATTACCTTAACCTAACACCCCTGCATTATTGGAAATTTCACTGCACTACCTTCTAGTTCACCTATCCACTTCACCAACACCCACTACTGTAACTAATTGTTACTGACAATCTAAAAGTGTTGATGTCATGCCAATAACTTTTTAAAATACCAGTCTTACCCTCCTTCCCATGAACCCCTCCCCCTTCCAAGCTCCCCTCCCATCCATCACCCACTTCTTACATACCTGCCATAACCACTCATCCGCACGGAGCGGCCATCACCACCACCTGCCAGTAACCAATATCAAAACTACCAACTGCCACCACTTCTACACAAGCAAACAAAACCCACCCATTTTACCACCAAACACCCACCAAAAGCCAGTCCTAGCCCCTTCCCATATAACCACCATTACCACCTTGTGCGGCTGTGCCACACTAAAATGAGTAACAGAAAAGGAGCAAAAATCCAAATTTCAAACACCTTATCGCACCCAAATCATGGAAATTCAATCCATTTCCCTCCAATTATTTTAATAGCAATTTGAAAAACAAGCCAACCAAACCCATAATTCTCCAATTGATACACAAAGCAATTCAAGAGAGAATATTTCAAGACAGATTATTGTGCAATCAGAGGAACAGAGCATATGAACCACCCCTCCCTCCTATCGCAAATAGTTGCACCACTGCCCATCCACACAAAACCCCCCAACTATACATCCAAAAGCCACCACCACCTGGCAACCCAAAACCCAAAACCGGCCCCAACCAAGCCTCTAATTTATATCAACCAATTCAAACCATCAAAATTCAGCGACTAGATTTGCGAAACAACTCAACCACCACCACCCTTTACCTTCTCTTACAGTTAATTGAACACTGGGTTGCTCAGTCCATCTCATAAGTTTCAATTCAATGTTAATAAATGTCAAGAGAATGATGAATCGAAGAGGAGGGAGACGAGCTGTAAAGAAGGCCACAAACCACTTGACCCAATCTCTCAATGTGTTTCTTCTCTCCCCTTTGACCCTATCTCTCGAGTTGTTTCATCGATTGGACTTCGTCTGGTTTATTGAAACGGCAATGGTGATGGCATGAGGTTGGTTGGCAAATTGGGAGTGTGGAGTGAGGGGTGGGTATCGGTTAGAGGGTAGTCTCTTGGAGGAGAGAGCAAGAGGTGGGTGGGGAATGGTGGTGGATTCATATGTCATCGGTGGTTGAGACATAGGTGTTTCTTTTCTTGTGGAATTATATATATATATATATAATTACAAACACTAAAAATCAGTATTTATGACCAAAAACGTGTACTATATATAGGTAAATATTTAAGATTAGGATAATAAGTAAAAGCACCACTTCTTTTGCTCCCGTCAAGAGACACACTACTGAGTCAGTGAAATTCCAAATAATTGAAGGGGTGCCTTTGACGATTGGGTATTCTACAAGGGGTGTGGATCAAATTTACCCTTTATTTTTTACAAAAGAAAAAATAAATTTTAAACTTGACAAACAATGAAACCACTTACAATTTTGGAACTGGTTTCTTGGCCATTTGCCACAAGAGAATTGGTCAAGTGTGCATATGAAACAACTATACATTTGACTTCATAAAAGTATAGCTTTTCCTCAAATATTAAAGGTTTGAATAAATTGACCATCTTATTGTTTTGAAATCAGAATTGAACCAAATCTGAAAAGTTAAGAATTTGGGATTCCTTTCACTTGTTTTCACATTAGTTGAAGAAAGAAATTCACCAAAAAGACAAAAATCCCAAACATGGACTAATCATTTGCATCCTTTATCTTTTATTCTTTATATGTACACACACACACACACACACACACATTCTTCAATTGAAACGTAAAACATATGAGGTTTGGTGAAATCCGTGTCTTTATATTAATTTTGAAACTTAAAAGTTTGTGAACCTTTACCATCACGTAGTTAGATCTAAGTAAGAATTCTTCAAGGGTTTAAAGACGTCACCTATGCAAAATTCTAACCAATCTAGGAAATTTGAATAGGCCCCACGTTTTTTGAAATCCCAATGGAGCCAATAACGATTAATCCCCTACAGTGCTATATGAGCCCGCCCATGCTATGCTAGAAATGATTAAATTTTCAGAATATAAATTTCAAGTTCTGACCTTATAAACCTCGCTAAATCCTCCTTTCCCAAGAAGATTTAAGAGGGCATATCGGTGGTTCAAAATTTGAAAATTGTTGAAACGGGAACCATCTTCATCTCGTATGCGTTTCATTTCACGTATAAGCCTTCCCTTCTCTAGTTCATAGCGATCTCTCTCACGCATTAAGGTTTCTTCCTCCTACAAAAAAAGCACAAGCCATTGACATCATGCTACAGTAATAATTAGAACAAATTACTATAAGAAACAAACTTACACGCTTGATGCTAGCTAATCGGGATTTATAAATCTCATCCTGAATGACAAAATCTTCTTCTTGAACTCCTGCTTCTATTTCAGTTCCATCTCCCTTATCTTCAATTGATGATCAAAAACATTAGTACTCAGAATTTTGCCAGATCAACAAAAAGGAATTCAAAGATGAATAGAGGATCACTACAACAAGAAATAAAGAAATGATTATTGTTAGAGTTCTTATTTTATATATTAGACATCAGTTAGTATGTGTAGGGTAATATTATAATTACTCTAATATTATATAATTATAAATAAGAAAGAATAAGGCAACCTAAACCTATACAACTGATTATTTCTCTCAATCTCTTTTTCCTCTTTTTCTCTCTCTTCCTCCCTTCTTCTTTCTTTCATAAACTTAATATCAACTTCAACTTTTTCTTGATATTAGAGAAAATTTTTCTATTCTTTTTAGCAAATAATTGCATGAACAACATAGTATAAACGATCAGGAGGATTTATTTGTGCTGACATGATTGTTCGCTAGAAAAATGACATCATCGCCAAAAAAGTGACATCAACAATTTTTTGGCAAATCCAAATGTGGACCGACTCGAACTTGTGCCCCGGTAATTATAGTGATTTTTTCAAAATTTTTTGAGGTTATCTGAATGATTTTTTGAATTTTTGAATGTTTTTCTTGAATTTTTTGGTGCCGACTACGATCTCTTATGTGGGAGCCTTTAGGATCTTTCCGACGCTTGATTCCATGACAAAGAGGTCTAACTAATACTCTAGGAGTTTATACTGGACTCGTTGAGATTTGGGTCATTTTTTGTGACTAAGCAGTTTCGACACTATACAATGCTGATGTATAGCCAAGGATCAAAATACTGTTTCGAAACATCCGAAACGTTTCCGTTTTCAAGGAGACCGAAACGAAACAATGATAGAATCGAACTTGATATTTCGAGGTATTTCATAATGTTTTTAAATGTATTATAATATTTCAATATATTTACACAATTGTTTTGGAATGTTTCAAGGTATTTCAAGATATTTTGATATATTTTCATCAATGTTTTAGAAAAATATTTCTTAAATCTTTTATTTTTTTCATTATGTTTCTGAAATACGTCGAAACGTTTTCGTTTTCTAGGTAACCGAAACAATACACCAAAACAATATTTTGATCTTTGTGTATAGCACTGTTTTGATGTTTCTGTTTCTTTTTGGACTTTTTCTTCTACGATGTATGGCTAATTTCTGGGAGTGGTTTTCAAGCTTTCAACGGTTGATTGGTGTTGGGGCTATTTGAATCCAAAGGAACAAGTATCAACAATACTATTCTCGACCTGTTTGTGTGTGGGAGAGCAACGCTACAATTTGCAGTGGCTTGGTTCTTCACAGAAGGGTGCGACTAGGACATGAGGATCTTCTGGAGGTGATCCATGACTATCCGTAGTGTGTGGGAGTGTTTTTCTGCTGTGTGTGGGTTGTGTTGGTTTTGGATTCAGGCAGATTTTACTCTTTTGGTTTGTACTATTCGTGTTGAATCGAACTAATTTGCCACGGCAAAGAACAAAGAATATAGGCTGCACGTCAGCTTAAAAAAAAAAGAGATAAAAAGCAGTGTGTTGTTGAGTTTTAAGTGTTGTTTTACTAAAGATTTTGAAAAGTTACTTCTTTTTGTGTGCTTTCTGATGTACTAAATTTTGAGGAGTTGAACCCAGATTTTTCCAGCTGTTCTGTTGTTCTATTTTCTTGCTACAATTTGTGTTATCCTTGGTGTTTGTTGAGATTTGAGATCATTACTCTTCGTGTTAATATTGGCATGATGAGATCGTTATTCATCAACCAGCTGATTATGGATTTTTTTTTGGTTCGACCCTTATATAATTATTTGTGGGTTCTCTGTGGCAACTTTGTGTGGCAGACGTGGTGCTAGTTTTGGTCGTGGTCATTGTTCTCTGTAGAAGTGTACTTATTGTGGTGGTGCAAGATATGCTGAAGATTATTATTAGGATAAGAATGAGAGAACCAGATATGCTTATCAGGCTCATAATGATACTTTGGATTCTTTCTTTCAATGGTCCAGTTGTTGCTACTAGTGCTTCTCATAATGATTTTTATTCTTAGTTTCGTTAACTCATCCAACAATTATCTTCACATTTTCCACATTTATCTATTCCTAGTACCGGTCTTGCTAATGTAGGTAACTCTGCATGTATGGTTGCTCAATCTTCTTTGTTATCTTGGATCATTGATACAAGAGTCAGTGCTCATATGTCTGGTAATTTTTCCTTGTTCTCTAATTTTCATTCATCTAACTCATGTATTGTATTAGCTGATGGCTCATTTCGAACTGTGCATGGGACTGGTGATCTCCGTCATACTCAATCTATGTCATTAACCTCTAGTCTGCTTGCTCCTAATTTTTCTTTTAACTTTTTGTCTGTAAGTAAGCTCACTGAGTCATTACAATGTTATGTATCCTTCTCTCCATCCTCTTGTGTTTTTCAAGACCTCAAGACGAAGAAGATAATTAGTTTGGAGCATGAGAAAAATGAAATTTATTACTTAGACACTGATGGTTCTATTCGTGCCTTGAGTGCTACCGTGACTCCCCTTTTATGACACTTCCTTTATTGCAAAAGTTGCGGCAAATTATTTTTGATTTGAATTCTTCTGTGCTTATCAATTAGGCAAGCATTACCGTAGTTCTTTTCCTCCTAGTTCATCAAGAAGTCAGTCCACTTCATTTCATATTGTTTATAACAACATTTAAGGTCCTGCAAGAGTTAAATGTATTTATGAGTTTTAGTATTTTGTGATATTTGTTGATGATTTCTCTCGTATGACTTTGATTATTTCTTATGAAGGACCATTATCAATTACTCAAGGTTTTTACCACCTTTTATAATGAATTTTGACTCAATTTGATGTTCGTGTTAAAGTTATTCGGTCTGACAATGCTCTTGTGTACACTCAATTATTTATGAAAATCTCTTTTGCTGACCATGACATTATCTATCAAACCACATGTCCTCATACCTCCCAACAAAATGGTGTTGTCGAATGTAAGCATCGACTTTTATTAGATGTTGCTCGTACCCTCATGTTTAACATGCATGTTCCCAAACCTTATTGGGTAGACGCTGTTCTCACTGCAGTCTATCTTATTAATCCGATGCCTTCTCCAATCTTAGGTAAGAAATTTCCATTCTCCTCGCTCTATCCTGATAAATCTCTCTTTGGTCTGACTCCTTGTGTATTTTGATGTGTTGCATTTTGGTTGTACACTGTGAAATAATCATGATGGTTTTGTTGAGCGATTGAAGACACATTTGGTTGCTAAAGAGTATACTTAAACCTATGGTATGATTACTATGAGACATCTCCCTTGTTACTCGTCTTAACTCTGTTAGAGTTTGTGTCAGTCAATTCTAACCGGCCCTTGTATCAACTGGACATAAAGAATACATTCTTATATAGAGATCTACAAGAGGAGGTATATATGACTCAATCTTTAGGTTATGTGATTTTAGGCCAAGAACAATTAGTGTGATTTGAAGACGACACTGTATGACTTGAAACGGTCACCACGTGCTTGATTTGAAAAGTTCAGTACCATGGTACTTTCATTTTGGTTTTCAACATCCTACGTTAGATCATTCAACTTTCACTCGTCGGTCTTATGTAGACATTATTATTGTTATTGTGTATGTCGATAACATCATCATCAATGGAAATGACTCAGATTGTATTGCTCATTTTAAGGCCCATTTGGAGAAGTAGTTTCATACCAAAGACTTAAGTTTTCTCTAGTACTTCCTAGGGATTCAAGTTGCTTGCTCAAAGGAAGGAATCAGTTTGTGCCAACGAAATTATGTACTAAACTCACTATTTGAAACGGGTACTCTTGGTGCACGTCTGAGTAATATGCCTATGGAACCAACAGTTAAGCTAGATCCTGAGAGTGGAAAGTTCTTCGATGATATAAAGTGATATCGGCGAATAGTTGGTAAACTGATTTATCTTACAGTTACACGGCCTAATATCACATATACTGTTGGTGTGGTTAGTCAGTACATGCATGCCCCTCGTAAGCCTCATTAGGAGGCTATCTATCGTATACATTAGTATATGCAAGGGGCTCCAGGAAAAGGTTAACAAAATCATTCATCATTATTCGTAATTGTTGATTTTAATGACGCTGATTGGGCAGGTAGTCATGGTAATAGACAATTTACGTTGGGTATTGCACATTTGTTGATGGTAATCTTGTTACTCGGTGTAGTAAGAAGCAAAATATGGTTGCGCATTCTAGTGTAGAGGTTGAGTATCGTGCGATGACACATAGTGCTTGTAAGATGTTATGGGTCCGTGATATGAGACTTAATGTGTCTTCTCCGATGAAGATGCACCGTGACAATCCAGTAGCTATTTTTATTGTAAGTAATCCGGTATTTTATGAGCGTATCAAACACATTGAGGTGGATTGTCATTTCATTTGAGATCTGTTGATGCAAAAGAAAATCATCACTCCATATATCAAATCTGATGACAAGGTAAGTGATATTCTTACTAAACCGTTGGCTCAGTCCGCTTTTAGTATTTTATGTTCCAAGTTGGACAATTTTTTTCTGTGAGCTCCTGCTTAAGGGGGAGTGTTAAGAGTTTTTATTTTATATATTAGACATAAATTAGTGTGTGTAGGGTAAAATTGTAATTACTCTAATATTACATAGCTATAAATAAGAGGTTCGGGCCAACTTAAACCTATACAACTGATTATTCCTCTCAATCTCTTCTCCCCCCCCTCTTTNGCTCACTGAGTCATTACAATGTTATGTATCCTTCTCTCCATCCTCTTGTGTTTTTCAAGACCTCAAGACGAAGAAGATAATTAGTTTGGAGCATGAGAAAAATGAAATTTATTACTTAGACACTGATGGTTCTATTCGTGCCTTGAGTGCTACCGTGACTCCCCTTTTATGACACTTCCTTTATTGCAAAAGTTGCGGCAAATTATTTTTGATTTGAATTCTTCTGTGCTTATCAATTAGGCAAGCATTACCGTAGTTCTTTTCCTCCTAGTTCATCAAGAAGTCAGTCCACTTCATTTCATATTGTTTATAACAACATTTAAGGTCCTGCAAGAGTTAAATGTATTTATGAGTTTTAGTATTTTGTGATATTTGTTGATGATTTCTCTCGTATGACTTTGATTATTTCTTATGAAGGACCATTATCAATTACTCAAGGTTTTTACCACCTTTTATAATGAATTTTGACTCAATTTGATGTTCGTGTTAAAGTTATTCGGTCTGACAATGCTCTTGTGTACACTCAATTATTTATGAAAATCTCTTTTGCTGACCATGACATTATCTATCAAACCACATGTCCTCATACCTCCCAACAAAATGGTGTTGTCGAATGTAAGCATCGACTTTTATTAGATGTTGCTCGTACCCTCATGTTTAACATGCATGTTCCCAAACCTTATTGGGTAGACGCTGTTCTCACTGCAGTCTATCTTATTAATCCGATGCCTTCTCCAATCTTAGGCAAGAAATTTCCATTCTCCTCGCTCTATCCTGATAAATCTCTCTTTGGTCTGACTCCTTGTATATTTTGATGTGTTGCATTTTGGTTGTACACTGTGAAATAATCATGATGGTTTTGTTGAGCGATTGAAGACACATTTGGTTGCTAAAGAGTATACTTAAACCTATGGTATGATTACTATGAGACATCTCCCTTGTTACTCGTCTTAACTCTGTTAGAGTTTGTGTCAGTCAATTCTAACCGGCCCTTGTATCAACTGGACATAAAGAATACATTCTTATATAGAGATCTACAAGAGGAGGTATATATGACTCAATCTTTAGGTTATGTGATTTTAGGCCAAGAACAATTAGTGTGATTTGAAGACGACACTGTATGACTTGAAACGGTCACCACGTGCTTGATTTGAAAAGTTCAGTACCATGGTACTTTCATTTTGGTTTTCAACATCCTACGTTAGATCATTCAACTTTCACTCGTCGGTCTTATGTAGACATTATTATTGTTATTGTGTATGTCGATAACATCATCATCAATGGAAATGACTCAGATTGTATTGCTCATTTTAAGGCCCATTTGGAGAAGTAGTTTCATACCAAAGACTTAAGTTTTCTCTAGTACTTCCTAGGGATTCAAGTTGCTTGCTCAAAGGAAGGAATCAGTTTGTGCCAACGAAATTATGTACTAAACTCACTATTTGAAACGGGTACTCTTGGTGCACGTCTGAGTAATATGCCTATGGAACCAACAGTTAAGCTAGATCCTGAGAGTGGAAAGTTCTTCGATGATATAAAGTGATATCGGCGAATAGTTGGTAAACTGATTTATCTTACAGTTACACGGCCTGATATCACATATACTGTTGGTGTGGTTAGTTAGTACATGCATGCCCCTCGTAAGCCTCATTAGGAGGCTATCTATCGTATACATTAGTATATGCAAAGGGCTCCAGGAAAAGGTTAACAAAATCATTCATCATTATTCGTAATTGTTGATTTTAATGACGCTGGTTGGGCAAGTAGTCATGGTAATAGACAATTTACGTTGGGTATTGCACATTTGTTGATGGTAATCTTGTTACTCGGTGTAGTAAGAAGCAGAATATGGTTGCGCATTCTAGTGTAGAGGTTGAGTATCGAGCGATGACACATAGTGTTTGTTAGATGTTATGCGNTTAGTGTGATTTGAAGACGACACTGTATGACTTGAAACGGTCACCACGTGCTTGATTTGAAAAGTTCAGTACCATGGTACTTTCATTTTGGTTTTCAACATCCTACGTTAGATCATTCAACTTTCACTCGTCGGTCTTATGTAGACATTATTATTGTTATTGTGTATGTCGATAACATCATCATCAATGGAAATGACTCAGATTGTATTGCTCATTTTAAGGCCCATTTGGAGAAGTAGTTTCATACCAAAGACTTAAGTTTTCTCTAGTACTTCCTAGGGATTCAAGTTGCTTGCTCAAAGGAAGGAATCAGTTTGTGCCAACGAAATTATGTACTAAACTCACTATTTGAAACGGGTACTCTTGGTGCACGTCTGAGTAATATGCCTATGGAACCAACAGTTAAGCTAGATCCTGAGAGTGGAAAGTTCTTCGATGATATAAAGTGATATCGGCGAATAGTTGGTAAACTGATTTATCTTACAGTTACACGGCCTGATATCACATATACTGTTGGTGTGGTTAGTCAGTACATGCATGCCCCTCGTAAGCCTCATTAGGAGGCTATCTATCGTATACATTAGTATATGCAAGGGGCTCCAGGAAAAGGTTAACAAAATCATTCATCATTATTCGTAATTGTTGATTTTAATGACGCTGATTGGGCAGGTAGTCATGGTAATAGACAATTTACGTTGGGTATTGCACATTTGTTGATGGTAATCTTGTTACTCGGTGTAGTAAGAAGCAAAATATGGTTGCGCATTCTAGTGTAGAGGTTGAGTATCGTGCGATGACACATAGTGCTTGTAAGATGTTATGGGTCCGTGATATGAGACTTAATGTGTCTTCTCCGATGAAGATGCACCGTGACAATCCAGTAGCTATTTTTATTGTAAGTAATCCGGTATTTTATGAGCGTATCAAACACATTGAGGTGGATTGTCATTTCATTTGAGATCTGTTGATGCAAAAGAAAATCATCACTCCATATATCAAATCTGATGACAAGGTAAGTGATATTCTTACTAAACCGTTGGCTCAGTCCGCTTTTAGTATTTTATGTTCCAAGTTGGACAATTTTTTTCTGTGAGCTCCTGCTTAAGGGGGAGTGTTAAGAGTTTTTATTTTATATATTAGACATAAATTAGTGTGTGTAGGGTAAAATTGTAATTACTCTAATATTACATAGCTATAAATAAGAGGTTCGGGCCAACTTAAACCTATACAACTGATTATTCCTCTCAATCTCTTCTCCCCCCCCTCTTTCTCTCTCTCCCTCCCTTCTTCTTTCTCCCATAAACCTGAATATCAACTTCACATTTTTACTATTGTAATAGATACATTATCAAAGATTGACATGAACGATTCAGTGCTAGATACTTGAATGCAGTTTCATGCATACAAAATGCCTTAGACCCCAACAATAGATAACCAGGCCACCCACCATAACAATGGGACCAATCAAAATAAATAAGTTGAACCAATGTATGCAAACCCACACCATCACATGCACACACACCCTGCCCTGGGTACCCTCTGAGGATGTGAAGCCTACAGGCATATGTGTGTGTGGGAGGGATGTTGCCCCAAATGCCCACTTTTATAGACCAGTTGGCTTCCAGTATCAAGTAACTCCACTAGTAATCCCACATATCTGAAACTCTGACACTACACCCCCGATAGGCATATTCCAGGTTCACAACAAAAATAATTTCCCACCAGTTCTGAACTTGAATGATCTCCCCCGCCACCTCCAAAGGGTCAGTGTAGGATTCAACTCCCAGCTGGGAAATGGATCCGTGTATAACTTACAAACATAAAAGCTAAACGCATCACCAGTTCACCACCACAAAAGTGCACAGGAAAGTTCGAGGTGCTCAAATTTATGAAGATACAAAAATGCTTCACCTGATTGCCGTTTCTTAAGAGATTTCCGCTGCCGCTCAACTGCTTCCTTCATCTCTAACAAATGTCTCTAAAAAAACCAAAATAATTTGATCAGTGTAAATGCCCTCAAAAAACTTCTGGCTGGACTCATTGACACGACAGGACAACAACATACAGAATCCAGTTCTTAGTATAGGGGGAACTTTTTGCAAGCCACTGAATATGGAATATTGCATTAGTGTACTTCACAATAAAGGCCCAGACAAGAAACTTCCCACTATAGTTGATGTATGCTGCTGGGAACAACGTAACTAATACAGGTACTAAATTAGACTGGGCCACGTAAAAGGACTTGGAAAATGTTTGAAATATTTATACGTGTACCAAAATAATGTGAAACTGCAATAATACCAAAAAGCCAAACAACAGAAAGTAACTAACATCTGTAAGCAGAGATTGATGGAAGATACAAAGCCACATGAAGCAAGCTCACAGAACATAAAAACATCACAAAACCATTGAGTTTAAATAATGGTCATCCAGGAAGGTCAAAGATAACTTTTTGATAGTTGCTTCTACAGACCTGAGAAGTCAAATTTTCCACCAAGTGATTTCATCTTTCATTAATCCATTACTAATTTTGTGGCAATTTGCTGCACTTATATCGTGCTGTCCACATCAAATATTAAGTTCATAGCATAACTGTTGAATAAATAAATCAGTGGATAATAAATCATCATGGATACACATTCGGAAGCAGTAAAACAAAAACATAGTCACTTGTCAATAACAAAACAGAAGAACTTACAAGATGAGTGTTGAGATCCTTTAGCACTTGCCCATCCTCCCATGTCTCAGATATGATAGTTCCAGTTCTGTTATCCAGCAGAAAATATTACCAATTGAACATAATTCACAGACAGCATGGAAAAAGGCCCACTAATACAGTGATTTCCATTTTGCTCAGAAGAACATAACTTGATAGCGAAGTGAAGTGCGGAATTTTTTCTTCATGTAGTTGCCATAAAAAAAAACCTAGATTCACCAAGGGCACCTAATCCCAGACAATGTCTGTACATAAATATAGTATATGCAACTAAATCTGCAAGAGTTGACGATACAAACATACAATTAAACAGTGGCCGAAGAAACCGACACGTTTATCCTTTACCCTTCTTTTTTTATCAAGNCAATGTCTGTACATAAATATAGTATATGCAACTAAATCTGCAAGAGTTGACGATACTAACATACAATTAAACAGTGGCCGAAGAAACCGACACGTTTATCCTTTACCCTTCTTTTTTTATCAAGAAGTTAGTTGCGCTACCACAATAAAATTGTAGTGAAATTTCATTCTGGATAAAATAATAAGGAAGTAACAGCACAAGGAATAATTTGCACGTGAAATTTATTGAGCTTCTGCTTCCAAGTTATGCAATTGTCAAATCATTCCATATAGAGGAATGGCGAATGGATTTGTGTGGCTACATGAATCTTGGTTTATATTGATGGTGTTTGGAGTTCCTTCTTTAAATGATTGCAATGTTTTGTTTATGGTTGCAAATCCTTGGACAGGAGCTACAGCCTGGACAGGTATGATATGCACTGAGATGAAACAATGTCGGTCTAAGAATACTTCTCAGTTGTTGTGTCAACAAATCAACGATTTTTTAAGGATGGATAGAGCAGATAATTATTTTTTGACGAAGTTTCTGCTTGTTTCCTTGAACCAAGTGACCACACATCTTCTNGGAGTTCCTTCTTTAAATGATTGCAATGTTTTGTTTATGGTTGCAAATCCTTGGACAGGAGCTACAGCCTGGACAGGTATGATATGCACTGAGATGAAACAATGTCGATCTAAGAATACTTCTCAGTTGTTGTGTCAACAAATCAACGATTTTTTAAGTATGGATAGAGCAGATAATTATTTTTTGACGAAGTTTCTGCTTGTTTCCTTGAACCAAGTGACCACACATCTTCTGGTCTAACCATTTGTTCACTGAAAACTGAAAGTAATGGCTGAGGTACCTGATTACACCCACATTGCCAAGTCTCAAGGAATCCTGGCGTACTTTCATCCTTGCTTCTTGTCTCTCAGCTTTTGAGAGAGAGATCAACAAATCAGATATCACTTTTATTCTCTGCATCAGAACAACAATAATAAATCATCAGAATCATGTACCAACAAAATACCTATAGTGCACCAATCCTTTTTTCCCCTAGGATTCTGAAAAGAATACAATTATGCACATAAATCAAGCACCTGGAAGAATGACAACGCTAACATTCGGAATCCAACAGTAATGGCAGCATGTTAGTCTTTAACAGTAGTCCTGATATTTGTCCAATGCTCAATTTATATGATCACGGAACATCTCCTTGTGCATCAGAGGGTTTCATCATGCTAATATAATGGTAATACAGTAGGCAGTGCTTATACTCACATTAACCGAAGAGACNTCACGGAACATCTCCTTGTGCATCAGAGGGTTTCATCATGCTAATATAATGGTAATATAGTAGGCAGTGCTTATACTCACATTAACCGAAGAGACACCATGTTCATAACTTCTTCTTTTAATTGTTGATTCTCTAGCCTACCAATCCGCCAACTATAAAGATGTTTTGAAAGTTCTTGCAGGGTATAGCTTTAGTTGCTGATATGATGCATAACAAAATCATGCATGCATGACATGTATTGCACATACAAACACATAATCTACATGTTCTCATTGTGGCAGTAAATAACTGAAAGCAACATAGAGCATCATTAAAGCAAACCTTTGGCTTCATTTGCTGCTCATAATCCTTAAGGTCCTTCAGTTCCTATGCAAGAGAAAACAATATTAAAAAGGGATCAATGGTTGCAGTAAACAAAGTCACTCAACATGCAAATCATTGTGTGGAAGACAATTATACCTTTTCAAATTGTTGGTATAGATTTTGAGAATCAGAGGCCTCTTTATGCGATTTCTGTAGGTCCTCCTCTAATGCCACTACTTTTGCACGTAAAGAAGTGATCTCCTCCTAACAGGGTTGACAAAGTAAAAATATTTAAAATTCAAGATATTAAATTCTGTACCAAAACTAACCTTGAGAGTGTGTGATATGTAACTTTAGCTGCAAAAATTGCCCCATCTAAAAATGTCAAAAAATAAAGCAAAATTAGAAGCACCAAATTCCTCTATTATTTAATCCTTCCTGGTCTAATAAGAGCAGATTTACACTCTTAGCACTAAAAATTTCAGACCAATTTTACGTTGAACATTTACACAGATGATACCTCTAATGAAGCACAATCGTCATGGCCAAGTTGCTCTTTGAGCCAACCATCTTGTAAAGGGAGTAGGGCAAAGAAAAATGCAGTCAACTACTTAAAAGAAGCAGCAAGTGGACTAACCACCTCAATAAAAACTTGCTTTAAAAGGCTTCCAAGGATGTTCCCTCCAAGCAATAATCACTAAACTTGTCGGGAAAAATGTGGTATTTGTTTTCAAATTTTTTCACATTAGAGGTTCGGGATACCAAAAAGGAGGTTTAACAGAGAATCATTGTAATCTTTCCTGAATCAAAAGGTCTGCAAGGCCATGAAGGGAGAAAATGAATTCCTAAAGCACGAGAGCAAGGTACAAACAAAAATCATGCAAGAAGATGAGAAAGCTCCAAACCTGGCAAGCATATTTAGCATTTGCAGGGAACTTAGTAACATTCTCTTAATGCATCTTTATATTCATAGATACTACAGTGCCAACAACAATACTAATTGTGTAGCATGGATTGATACAGGATCCATTGGCAGTGTACAATCCTTTAAGTTATAATTCGATGCACAAATTAGGTAAAACCGATTGTCACTGAAGTGATTCTGGCACTTTCTTCCCAGATGGATAAGTAATGTACTAGAGGGGGTCAATAGATTGACAGTGCTATCTCAGATCAGAGTCATCAGACACAATGTACAACAAAAAATATTTATCTACAAGGAAAAATGAAACGCCAAAATACTACATCATAAGCCAGAATAAGTATAAACTCACCACTAAAATGCTTGAGCTTAAAAAATTATCCGTATAGTTGAATGGTACCAAGATATGGCATAATTTTAACATTGCCTTTCATATAATGTCGTGATCTGATTACTTCTGGTTTGTAGTAACACTGTTGCACGGCGCCCATATTTACAAACCACTTTAATTATGGTAATTGTCGTGATTGAGTTCTATAGTACTAGGAGCACTGGTCATTGCATCACGTGAAAGCCACAAATCTGTTTTTACTCATTCTGCTTGAACTTAATGATATTTCCAAATCTGCTTGGTGAGTCTTATAATTAGTTACTTTTTTTGGCTCTTTTTCCTTTTATTGTGGAGGTGGGAGTAAATTATAACAATCACTGGTCAATATTGATCTACTATAGTACGACATCACTACGATAGCAACTAAAAATGGGAACTCAAACAAAAAAATACCTCAAAGCGTATTTGATACAGTGCCAAATCTTTGACAAATAAAAGTAATGTTTGAATTTCATCAATCATACGATTAAACTTATATACTTGGTGAAAAAAAGGTTGAAATTATATTTTACTCTCTTAATAATTAAGAATATGATCCTGATTCACAAATCAAGTTTCCTAGGTCTTGCATTTTAGAATGAGTGAAGAAGCCAATGAGGTCTACGCATACATATAAGCAGGGTAGAGCCAGACTTTTCATGCTGTGGGGGCAATCTAAGATCCTAATATTGACATTAGTTTTGCAAACACAATAACTAACTATGATTTTATAGGTCTAATTTCATTAAAAGAACAACAATTAGAGGCTTAAAACTATATAAACAAACAATATACAAGAAAGGCCAAAAGCAAAAACTTGCTATAAAAATATCAACAAATGTCAAGATTCAAGACTATTGAATACATGACCCAAAAAAAAAAAAAACTATTTGAATAAACTACTTTCATAAGATCAAACTCCCTTATGTCGTCTCTATACCATCCAATTTTCAAGGATGTTAAATTTTTCAATGAGATTGATACACAATCTAGGAAGCACGGATACTTCTCACAGGGTTGCCGTGGCTGTATCGGACTTGTGTCTGACACGGATACGGCTAGGACACAACTGGACATGTGTTTGACACGACTAGAAGTGTCCTGAATAATGAACTCAGTCGAACACAGTCAGGATATGTCTAGGACACAGCTAGGACACGACCAAAAAATTTTTTATTTATAAAACAACTTTTAACTATCCAAAATTTAGTTTTGTTAATATATTTTTTGTTACGTAACTTATATATTATGAATATTAACAGATGCATTGATGTTTAATGAAAATAGTAAATATTTAATTTGATCTATTTCAATTTTAATCAAAAAAAAATATTTGCTAGGTCTTACAATTAATATTATTATAATATATGCTTTATTTTTAATATATTACAACTCTATTATTATTTAAAAAATATATTATATTATTTTCACAGCCGTATCCTTACCGTACCCGTATCCCATATTTTTTAACTTTGTCGTATTCCCGTGTCCGTATTGTATCGGATACGACATTCACNTTTAATATATTACAACTCTATTATTATTTAAAAAATATATTATATTATTTTAACAGCCGTATCCTTACCGTACCCGTATCCCATATTTTTTAACTTTGTCGTATTCCCGTGTCCGTATTGTATCGGATACGACATTCGCGTCCGTATCCGGGCTTTCTAGTACACAATCAATCAGATCATTTTTTAATTCAAATTCAATAATAAAAACTTTATCATCTTCTATAGCAAAAAAATGGGCAATAATAACCAAAGCCCTACTAACTAACTATGTAATAATAATAAAAAGACGAAGTTTCAAAAAAAATAAATAAATAATTTATGCTTAATCTCTCGTAACCGCTCCGATAGAATCTCCTAATACCCCCATTTTCATTAAAGCTATTCACTCAATTGGATAAACGTCAATTGACTTCGAAAACAAAGTCAAGAAGGTTGAAGTGTGGGAAGATAGAAAAACGATAAGAAAAAAAGTAGTATACCCAAGAGAGAAAGTTTCAAAGGAAGCGATGTTTATAACGTATCGTGCANTCGAAAACAAAGTCAAGAAGGTTGAAGTGTGGGAAGATAGAAAAACGATAAGAAAAGAAGTAGTATACCCAAGAGAGAAAGTTTCAAAGGAAGCGATGTTTATAACGTATCGTGAATAATGTATGTTTACCAAGTTTATGTAGCATTTATTCGGGGTTAGTGTCGAATTATTTTTTTAAAGGGACAAATAAATTCACCTATTTATCACTCAANATAATGTATGTTTACCAAGTTTATGTAGCATTTATTCGGGGTTAGTGTCGAATTATTTTTTTAAAGGGACAAATAAATTCACCTATTTATCACTCAATTTTGCTAAGGCTAAACCTCCGCTAATTCTGTGTCGATTTCGTTGGTCATATTTAAAATGTGAGGACTAAAATTAGTTCATCAAATTTATCTAAACAAAAAAATTTCCATGAAGAATACAAATGAAGGGGCAGAGATGAAGTTCGCACGAAGAGTCGAAGACGAAGGGCATGGAAAATAAGGCTGCTAAAGTTATGTTTTGATGGTTTCAAAATTACACTAACTAACCCTATATTTTATGAAAATTTCAGTGGGGCAAGATTCAAATTTTTTTGAAATTTTCAAAATTTTACTTAGGTCCCAAATTTTTTTGAAATTGCTGTGGGGGCCACCGACAGCTGGCCCCACTGCCCTATTGTAGATCCGCCACTGCTTGTAAGGAGACTTCCAAATTCTTGTGGTGCAAAGGCCAGTACAACATCATAAGGAACTGTAACGAACTCTAAATGCATCACATCTATAAATGTCACCATGCCAACAGTAGAAATTACTGATACATTGTGTCGTAATTTCAGCTTATCCTCAAAACCGTAATAAAGGCTATTAGCTATCCAATGAATATCATGATAGATCATCAAGTAACAAATTTTTGATTATTTTGCCATACCACTAAGTACGGAAACTATAAATAATCAACAACAGCTACTTTTTAGATTTCAAGTTTTTTGAAATCCAGTAGGGTAAANCATACCACTAAGTACGGAAACTATAAATAATCAACAACAGCTACTTTTTAGATTTCAAGTTTTTTGAAATCCAGTAGGGTAAAAAGGTAAGCAAATTACGTCTAAGAGTTTCAAAAAATTGTCTTGGTATTCCTTCTAATTCTTCTTTCGTGGTTATAGGGTAGGGGGAAAGTGGGGTTGCAAATCGCTTTTGCATAAATCAGCATTAAATGGTCTACTTGATGCCTAGCTATCAAACAGATACAAGCTGCATTAATTAAATGATTAATATGTTGATTAACATTTAACAGTACACTACCCACATAAACCCCTTGAGGGACAGACTGTACTAGATTCTTCCACCATAAAACATAATAGGAATGAGATCCATGTCCAGCAAAAAGCAATACTCTGGCAGCCCTCGAGCATAACATTGCTTTCACATTTTTTCAGTCCTATTTGAATCCAAGATTTTTATTCCAAACCTCAATTGTGATTAAAAGCTGGCACTTTGTTAAATCCACTACAATTACCACTATATCATAAGCTAAAATACAAGTAGCAATACTTCCAATGCCAGATAACTAATCCAGATATTGTCAAATAGCCATCAAACACCACGCTTTTGGTTTCATCTATCAATAATAAATCCACTTTTCTGCTTCTTATTTCTACATGCAAACATGACATCTACCAAAAAGAGAAATTGAAATCATAATCTAAGCTTTATACAATAAGAGGTCATATTGTCCTTAACTCGACAGTGTCACCAAGATATTAGAGACGCCCCACCATCAATTCCAACAAACAACCCAACAACTTCTACAACAAAAAAGTTCAGATAAGTTTGTTATTAGAGTCCTATCAAATCAATCCCTATGTCTTGGTCAAGTGTCTTTCAAATCAGATTTTGTACAATCTAAATTCAGGAGATCTAAATTGTCTATAAGAGATTTGAGCTCATAAGTGAAATAAACAGCTGAAGCACATAAATACAGGCGTACACTCTCTCTAATAACTTCAACTTTTAGATAAGAGGGTGGTTTAAATGGTATCAGGGCAGCTGGTCCTTTGTTTAAATCTTTTTATTGGAATCGTGCCACCACCTGGCAATCAAAATACTTGCACATACTTGGCCCAAAATTTGGACTACATGTGATGGGCATGTTGAATTAGAAAAATGCTTATTTTACACTCCCTCTAATAGCTAAGGCTTTTATATAAGATGGTGATTTAATAAACATAGCATAAAAACAGTAACATCTTAATCTACAATTTATTTATAAGGACTGACGTGGCAAAACTTTCCCATTGTTTCCTTAAAGTGAGTAGAGTTTTGGGCTCAATGTTTGAATGCTGAATGACGTAAGACCATCTCCAATGGAGACCCAAACCTTTAACTAAATTTGAGTAAAAAAAAAAAGGGTAAAAACTCAAATTTAAAGGAAGAGAAACTCAAATTTAAATGAGGACAAACTCAAATTTAAAAGAGGATAAAATATAACCATTGGATCTTTATAGGAGAGTAAAATCTCACTATTAAATATTTGGGTATGGATTTGAGTCTCCCTTGATTTGATATAAGTATGGGTTTAGGATTGGAGAAGGTTTTTAAGAGTTTTTTTTACCCAAATTTAAATTTGGATTTAAAAAATGGTAAGGATTGGAGAAGCTCTAAGGAAATCAACAAAAATGCTCTCATGGGGTTTATTCGGAACCTTATTAGCCTTGGATGGTAATAACAAAATCTATGGAGTTAATTTAGTCAATTTGGAAATCTGATTGTCCAGTATCTAAGTTAGTAGTCATTCGTTTTGGGGCATTTAAGAAGATTCCATGGCTGACAATTTTTCTTAAGGAGAAGTTTTTCATCGTGATGATTTTCCGCTCTAAGGTATTTAATTTCTTATATTCCAACTTTGAGTCCATCGAGGAAAATTTGCCGACTGGATTTTGTTAGATTCTTTAGGAACTTCTATTTGAGAAGTATGATCCTGTTTGGTTACCATATTAAAGAGTCTGACAAAATTCCAGCAGAGTTTTTTTTTTTTTTAAATAGAAACTTTAGCTTTGCACTTTACTTCTAATTGCTGTCTAGTCTTATTTGCTGTCTAAGTTTTATCTTTGCTTTTCTAGCAACTATTTCTGTAAACTGCAAATTTAAGAACCAACTGCCTGTAGGCTGTAAAATTCATCTATCTTAACCATATTTCATCATAAACAATATACATTCTTTCCATCTACATTTTTTTTTGGGGATTTGCTGCTTCCTTTATTTCTATATTCACAATCCTAAGAAGCAGGGTCATATGACACAAGAAGTAATGTCAAAAGGAAATGAGTCAAAGGAGTTCCTGTAATCTTAACAAGAGGAAAAAATTAATCCTACCGACATAGAGTTTGACAGAAGAATCCAATGGTTAAGAACTGTTTACAGTATACGACCAATGATGACATATCCAGACGATATCAACATCTCACATGCCACTGCTTGGTGCCCACAATCAGTTGGGTATGTTTTCTTTACAGTTCAGCACATAAGAAAATTCAAAGGGAAGTCTACGCAACATTGCCTCAAAATTGCATTTTAACACTTGGCTTATTGACTGTAGCGTCCTGTAAACTACAAAGAATATTTTCATATTGCCAAAACATTTAAATCTGGAGAAACAAGAAGCAGATTCTCTCAATTAGTGTTTGAACAAGAGAGATTAATGTGGACAAGCCTAAAAAACGCAGCTTCACATACTGGATGTGGGCTTTTCAGTCTCCCAGTTTTTGCAGCAATAATGTGTGTGGGTGTTGTGTTTTGGGGTTAGTGGGAGGGCAGTTTGCAAAATATTTTTCTACATCTTTAACCAGTACGTGATTCAATACTTCATTTACTATCAAAACTGGCACAAGCAGCATATATAAGATGATTGAAATAAATACAATGCAGCCATCTTACAGCTTTCTCGAATACATTATAGTTATGCTATCATGTCATTATTAATCAGGACAATATTGTTACAGAAAAATGAAAAAGTATCCTTACATGAATACATCGTGTCATGAGTGACATTGAATAAAACAGCAGTACTTACAAAATACTTAAAAAGTATTAGAATCCGACTAGAAAAGTCATTTGGTACAATGCCCCCACCCCAATCACAATGTACAAGGGCGGCATCTTCTTGATATACATCAACAAATCTCAACCAGAAATACTTGGTAAATTGCCATTGCCAAAGTCTTCAAGAAGATGGAAGGAATCTAAAAAAGTCATGCTAGAGATAGTGTACCTTATAATATGAGTTCTCAAGCTGACCATTTGACGGCAAAACAGTATGAATTCTTGTCTGGTCATTACCTCGAGAACCACGCCCTCTGCCTGAAGTAGAATGTCCCCTTCCACGGCTTTGTTTTTTTCTATTTACATCTAAACCTGCTTTGTTGTCCATGTTGTCCACAATCATTTGCCTCCCATCCGCCAATGCCTGATTTATTTTTAAAAAATCATCACTAGGCCAAATCTTTTGAAAAATAAAATCCTAAGAGAGAATGGTGTATCTTCAGAAACCATGCCTAAGAACACAGACAATAAAAAGAGATGGAAAACCCAAAAACTACAAAAGGATTAAGAAAATGAAATTATGCAACTGAGAGCATCAGACCACAGTACAGTACCTAGCTGTCAACCAGTGCATATTTCTTATAAAATACAAATACAATTATAAAAAAAAATCTACCTCAACATGTTCAAACACAGTTGAGCGGTCATCTTCAAGTTTACAGCGCTTCTGAGTGTTGGCTTGTATGAGAAACTCCCCTCCATTCTGGCATTAATAGTAATGACATCATCGTCAACATTAGAAAGCAGCTTTGTGGGGGGGGAAGGGGGGGGGGATTCTGAAGTATGCTTGCACAAGAACCAGACCATAAATAATAGCATTTGAAAAACAAAATTGGTTTTTCTCAGAAAAAATGCGAGAGGTATGGTAGTAAACTAGAAGATTCTAATATTTATTACAAATTTGCATAATAGCACTTGTCAAATTCAGATGCTAAGCGGGATCTCCTGCGACTAACTTGGGTTGCTGTTGGGATTGTCTTTCAAAGCCCAAAAACACTTTTGGCCTTGGCGATGAAAAACTTGAGAAGAATTTGGCTGGTTGTAAGAGACGATATTTGTACAAAAGACACAGACCTGCTTAAACAAATGCACGCCGCCTAGCGTACTGATTGATGACTTAATGTTACTTAAAACTATCCCAATTTCAGCAGCACTGAGGTTAGAGATGCTTCAGATGAACTTTCTCTATGGAGGGCTGGGTTGAGTTAACATATCACTTTCTTCAGTAAGAAAGAATGATTTAACACATCACTCGGTAGACTGAAAAACAACATATTTGATTTAGGAGGCAAATGTACAAGGAAGTTCAATTAAGCTTCATTGGGGAAGTGCCTTCAATTAATTTTCAAAGGAGAGAGAGAGAGATAGAGAGAGAGAGAGATAGAGAGAGAGAGAGAGAGAGAGAGAGAGAGAGAAGTCCTTACGTGTTCTGAGGGGTTCAAAAGGAGTGGGGGACTTGATAAGTATTTACAATGGATGCAATGAGTTTTTAGTATGCTAGTTTTCATGTGGAAAATGGGAAGAAAGCAAGGTTTTATGACATTGAAATGGGATTATGTTTACCATATCTACCACAGTATGCAGTAGGTGTTTTAGAGGGGAACATAACATGAGTTGTGATGGAGACCTACAAGAGCTAAGCTTATGGTGAGTTCTTACTACAAAATGTTGAAGGTAGTGATTCTTCCCAAGTCCCTCTTGGAAAGTATTTGGCACATCAATGTGCTTCCAAAATCACTTTCTTTGTACGGATGACTTTCCATGATTAAGTCTTAATGATTGACAATTTTGTTAAGAGGGTGAAAATCTTTTGTTACTGATAAAAACAAACAGTTTTGCTAAGAGGGAACAGTATAACCAAACTGGTACTGCATATAGAAAAGAAATGAACAAGCAGTGAACCATTTGTTGTTGTATGGTTGAATGGCAAGGGAGTCGATTTAACATAAGCAAGTGGGTGGTCTGGAAAAGCTGCCTTTGCCTCGTTCGGAGATCTGGAAGGACAAAACTATGAAGTCATTTCGTGGAGTGGAGTACCAAAGATAAAACTTTAACATGTGGCATGGTAGGGGTGTCAAACGTGTCGGATTGGGTCATTTTGTGTCAGGTTGATTTCTAGTTTGTGTCAAAAATTTCAAAACTCAAACTTGACATGTTTAATAATTGTGTCGAAATATGTAAACATTAACCTAACTTGCCCATTAAACGTGTTACCTGAACCCGACCTGTTTGACACGTTTAATAAACAGGTTGTTTTCGGGTTAACACACATAACATGATTTGTTTAACTTGTTTAGCATACATAACACAGACCTGTTTAACACATATAACATGTTTCCACACAAGTTCATTACTATTAAATACATCATTCATCTAAAATTTTAAATAATTTTTTTACAAATAACATATCACATCTCATCAATGAAATTAATTAAAATGCATTTAAGTTTCAACTCAAAAATTAAAGCAAGAACTATACTAGTATACTGTCATAATAATGTTAAGAACTATACTGCCAATTATCATAGTAGAAGTAAAAACTATTAAGTAATATTGTTAAGACCACATCAGTCATACATAATAGGAAAATTATACTGCCATAAACACGTTAAACGGGTTTATAATGGATTAGGTCGGATTCGTGTCCAAATCATATCTACCTGTTTAAAATATACGGATTAATTAGATCAAAATCGGGTTGACCTGATTTTGACATGAACCCGACCTGTTTTTTTTTTGTGTTTACGCGTGTTGACCCAATTTAACCCATTAACTCGTTTAATTTGGTGTCTGACCCATTAATTTCGTATTCAGTTCATGTCGTATAGAAAATTGATAGCCCTATGGCTTGCGCTCTTTATTCTTGTAGCTTGCCAACATGCTGATACAATTTCAAAGTTTTATGTAGATTCTTATAGAATTTGTTAAACAAGGTGTTTTGTTTTGTCTTTTCATCTCATACTCCACGTATACGTGGGTTATGTGACCATGGTGCTCTTTGAGGGATTTTCTCTTACATGTCAAAAAGTTATATCACGTGTAGTGTGATGTTGGGCAAAATAATAAAAATTTGTGTTTTTATCTTTGCATGATCATCAAAAAGAATAAAAAAGTAATATCACGCAAGTAGATGCACGGTCTAACATGCACACATCCACTAGTCAAATAAGCATGCCAAATAAACTAAGAGTGATAGCTCTCAAAATAGACAAAGCACAGGCAACTCCCATAACTATAAAATCAACTTCCATGAACATTTGCCAAAACCGATATATTATTTCCCATTTGCACCCTGTTCCTCACTATTAACTTTCTACCAATACCTTTTATTCTTCCCCAGTAAAAGATGTTTTCAAATGTTTTTGTCTCTCTTAAAAATAAATTCATTATACAAAGGGTTATAATCGTACTTGCCCCAATATCGTAGCTATCTATTCCTGCAAGTCCACACCACATCCTCTTGTACCACATAATTCAATAGAAAACACCATGAACTTTTTAGGTACATTCCATCCATAATAATTACTAAAAAAAAAAAGAGGTACTTGATCCATATAATTATAGTACAGTTCTAAATCTAGGGTTAGTTTAAAAAATCTGAAGACTTAATTAGAATAGCCTCAAGACTGTGCCAAATCTATTTATAGAATCATTCATCTTGAAATTTTACAATGCCCATTCAGAAATGGCTTTGAAAAAATAACTGAAAGTTTTGGTTAGAGTAAAAACAAGCATAAGTCCACAACTTCAATCCAGGACTCGTAAAAAGAGAAGTGAACAAAAAGTAGTAATAACCCAAGCAACTGTGAAACAAACAAAATTGGCCAGCAAACCACCCCTGATAGAGGGAAACAGAGAGTGAATTTTGAAAGTCAAACTTAGACAAAATACTGGCACAATCATAATTCATTTATCAGCTCTTGAACACCAAAACAAGCCAATGTGACTACCACACACCCGATGCTAATATGCAAGTGCTTCATCAAAATCACTAAATCTCAGATTGAGTTAACCCACGAATCAAATTGGTAAAAGTTTCATCCATGACTCGGGATACTTGATCATCATACAAAAGGTAAAATATCAGAATTCAGAAAAAAAGATTGCCCCCAACATTCTTTCATATTTCAGAAAACTTATTCATATATCCTAAACATTTTCAATAGTCCGAATTGGTCCACATTTCTACAGCTCAAACGAAGTCAGACTTGGATTTTGTACTTCTAGATTGACCTTTAACTTACGGCATCAATTCCATGTCAATTACTGAACTGAACACACAAAACAAACTAATATAACTTGTTCTAATACATACTAACAAGCTAAGGTCATAAAGCATTAAGTGATAAAACATGTCTAATTGAATAAACCATTTTTACAAGCGTAGCAATAGAAAACCAACACTCACATCGTCGTCATCCGAATCACTAGAAACCAATGGCTCAACCAGATTTTCAGCAGCCCCTAATTTGGGTGCCAATGAAACAGAGGACCAGGTGGCCTGAGTGGGCCCGGAGGCGGCCAAGGAGGCTTTGCCGACCATCCTTGCTTCTAGCTTTGCAATCTTTGAGGGCAAAGACTGATCGGATTGGTTGGAAGAGTTGGAAGAAAAATGCAAAAGCATGTCCTCCGACATTGTGCATTCAATGCAGGTAAGCCAATCGAACGGAAACAATACACAGATTACTCACACGCCGTAAAGAACACAAAGCAAACCCTAAAACACTGGTTTTTGATCGAAAAATTGAATTTGGAGGTACCCTTTAAGCCAAAGAGTTGATCAAGCAATGGTGGGCATGAAGCTATTAAGCCCCCATCAGAATTGAAGTTTCAACTCTCTGCATGTGTGTGTGTGTGTGTGTGGAGAGAGAAAGACAAAGAGGGATGCGAAAGAGAGTAGTTGGCGAGGAAATTGGAAGTTACCCAGATGACAAAATTGGCATGAAGTTGTGTCTATAGAAAAAGATTGTTACGAAGTTGATTGAGAGAGAGACAGATAGAAGATTTGAGGATCTAATCAGAGAGAAAATTAGGGTTTTTTTGGGTAGGGGATGAATGCAGATTGAAGAGAGAGAGAAGGGTGTTTACAGGTGAGATAATGAACTGAGAAGGAAGAGGAGAACGCAATGAGTTAAGATTTTTGAAATCTGGATTGGTCTGTTTTTGGAAGGAAGTTGAATTATTTTCCAGGTGCTGTTTGATTTGGTCATGCCATGGTATGCTGTGCTGTCACACTTTAAAAGACTAGAGACAGAAGGCAGAGGAAAACAGAGAGGTTTTTCCCAGACCATGCCCCCTCAAAATCAGTCCAAAATTAGTTTTTTTTAAATTTAATTTTCAAATTTAGTCTTTTTTTTAAAAACATTATTTGAAATGATGTCTTCTGAAAACATTATTTGAAATGACGATTTGAAATTTAAATTTTTTTCTTTAAAACGTTATTCCAAATGACGTTTTTTAAATCGTCATTCAGAGTGGTATTTTTAAACATGATTTTTTTTAAACGGTACTAGCAGACGTTAAAATTACAAAAGGGCTGAAAACATCATTTCAAATGACGTCTTTAATGACATCATCTCAAATGACATTTTCAGCCCTTTTGTCCTTACATTTCTATCCCTTAACTTTTTACAATGACATTTTTTTCCCACCCAACTTAGAGGTAAAATTCATGATTAACTATGAAATTTATCATATTTTTTTTATAAAATATTATAAATGCATCAAATAAATTTTAATTTTACAAATGCATCGATATTCTAATCAATTTTAATATGATCGTAAATTGTGTTTTCGACTTACAATAATATTTTAAAATATCGAACACCGATCATTAAGTGATAGGTTTTCTGGCATTTTTTTTTGAATAAAATGTTAAATGTTTGTTTAATAAAAAATCCTAACAATGATACCTAAAATTGTTTTGCTCACGTTCTTTTTAAGAGGATGAGTTTTTTTAATTATTTAAAAATTTAATTACATTCAATAAATAAATTGTGATAATTTTAAAATGCTTGTATTTTATTTGTAATGTTGATCATGTCGACATTAATGTTTAATCAACTGTGAAAAAATATAAGTTATTCAGAACGAATAAATGTAAAAAAAATATGACAATAACGTAGTTGATATTCAAAACAATATAAAGGATTATCGAGTATACATAAACATGATAGGATAAAAGTGTCCGACGCATCATCGTCCAAATCAGAAAGTTCAGGATCAAAAACTAGTAACGGATCCTCTAAAATTTAAATTTTGGGATATTCAAGATCAAAATGTTCTATTTTTGCATAATCAATGCATGAAAACGATCTAGACGCCGCTGCATTTAATTAATTTCACGTTCAAGGATTGAAATGATCTCGTCATGATTGTTTGAATTCTGTGAATTGTAAATATCAGCCGAACATGCCTTTGGTACTGCAATTCCATGCCAACGACAAAATACTTCAAGGTCACAATCTTTGTTATATAATTGTCATCATCTTGGTATGAGTTCGATATGAGCACTTGAATGTGGATAATTAGTTGCAGGGCCAACAACTACATGCCCAGCTTGACCGAATGGGTGATAAGGGTCGATGAGCTCATTACGAAATACACGTTTTTTATCCATACCATGTTACACCACTGGAGTCAGTATATGATTCGATAGAAGGAACTTTGTTCAGCGATGTTGAGTTGTCCGTTAAGTGCTCACGTTTGTCACCCGAAGATGAACTGTCTTGGTCATTGCATGAAGAAGAACTCACATGTGATGTGCTCCTATACATTTTGTTTGGTGGTGATCCATTTACATAATTGTGAATGGTAGTATATATATGCTGGGTTCGACAATTAAAAATTACAGTGAAAGGACATGAATCTGCATACTTTGAAACTGATTTGACAGTGATGCAAAATGACAATGAAAAAGGTAGGATATGACAACACACTTCATAGATTGATAAAGCCACGAGATAGATTAAAGTAAATAGGACATTACACTACAAAGTTGAGAACTGATTTGACAATGATAGGATGTGACAATGAAAAAGTTGAGATATGACAACACACTAAATAAACTGATAAAAAAATAATATTAATTAAAGAAAATAGGACGTAGACATAAACATCATATGCTTAATAAGGTGGACACAAATTATATTTGTTAATTTTCATCAGACATATACTCATCTGATAGGTATTGTTCATTAGACAATACATTACATCGTTCAGTA